ATTAATATAGATCCCGTTAATGTAGATAGACACTGCAAAATAAATAAGTAGTTATATATTATTGGAATCCCAAAATAAGAATAAACTGGAAAGAAAAATTATTTAGTGATTTCTTGGCAGAATGAAAGGCTTCAAAACTTTAGGGGAGAACAGAATTTATTGCATCACTGATTTAATTTATATACTGTTAGAACAACGAGTTCAGTCATAAGTTTTAAGGACTTTAGTACTTCTTAAGTTTTAAGTACTTCTGCATTTTAGTGCTTCTTACACTTTAAGATGCACTGAAGAAAGGGATTGATGAGGAAGCTTCTTTATTCATCATTTAAATTATTATAGAAAGCTTTAAAAGGAGTTAATTTATTATTATAGAAATAGCGTTAATTTTTTATTATAGAAATAGAGTTAATTTATTTTATAGAAATAAGTTAATTTATTATTATAGAAATAAAGTTAATTTATTATTATAGAAAATAGAGTTAATTTATTATATAGAAAGATTTTAAACTTACGTTATTACTGAAGTTGATAACGAATAAAACGGTAATAAGAGATGTGTCATGAAACAAAACTTGGAAAGGAATGGAAATTTTGTTTGTTAAAAGAAATTCCGCAAAAATTTCTAAAAACTAAAACAGATTATTCGTCTAAAAAAAAAATAACAAAACCGCAAACTTCGAACCTGTATCTAATCAAAGTAAGACTCCCATAATAGCACAACTAATAGTAACAGGAAAAATGGTCGCGATTAAATTTTCCTCTATAATGTAGGTGGATATTTTGATATACCGCAAGCATCATATCCAAAGACAGCAGATTGTAAAAGAAATCCTCTGAGACCAAAAGATAATGGATTTATCTTTTAGGGCATCTCGACAGGCTGAGAATTTTCAGCTGTTACTAGAGTCAGTGAGAAATATATTGATTGAATGAGGTTAGCGCATTCTAAAGAAAAAAAATCTTGCTTTTTGCTTTCGTTGCAGCACGTTCGTGTCCAATAACAAAATATTTCACCACGTCAATTAGGGTATGTGTACTTTAAGCAGGCATAAAAAATGAAAAGCAACTTAGAATCCTATTAAAATGCTGTAAACTATTATGTAAGCTTAAATTAAAACAACTCAAATGCATTTAACAAACAAATGAGTTCCAGGCAGCAAATTTTATTGGATACAGAAATTCGATTTTCAAGCAGGGAAATAGAACAACTCATTATAACTTTCCAATTTCTGAAGCAAACATTGTTTGACGGATATTGTTATAATTATATGCAACCAAATGGACACTATTTTAAATTTTTGGAAATAATTACTAGATTTGACGTTGTTTGGAAAACTTAATAAATTTGTCGTTAGTTAATGAGATTTGCCTTTGTATCGAAGCAGTATTATTTTTCAACATCATTAAATAAATTGGCGTTAAAAACGAACTGAATTTGCTTCGAGGTTACAAAAAGAAAAATGTTTCTGCAGTATTTAAACCTAAGTATTATAGCATAATTGCATTGGGGAAGTAAAGTATTTTTTTATTCTGTGCCATCTGCACTCTTTTGAATTGATTAGCTACAAGATATTTTGCGCAGAAATGTTTTCTTTTAAAACACTTTCAAAGTTTTTTGTATTTTTCTCTGAATCAAAGGCATTTTGAAATTTTCGAAAAAGTACTTTTCAGCACTAACTTCTAAGTTTCAAAGTACTACACTGATGGTCATTAAAATTGCTATACCATGGAAAACGCGCGCGACAAATGTTAAAGTCGAATCCAGCGTACTATATGCTGGGTTATGCAATTGATCAGCATTCCAGAGTGGGCGAATAAAGCAAGTATGAGTAACATCTTCTAAATTTTATATAAATCGGAAAATTGCACAACGGATTTGTCATTTGAAAATCGTATTTAAATGTTGGTTGCTTACTTAAAGGTCGTGTTATGCGTCGTATAAGAATAAGAAAGTCTTACCAGCACGTCTCAAAATCCGACAATGGCACAGTCCCAGTGGACTGTGGTTTATCATTCCGCGACATTGTTGTTCTTGTTGGTACATAAGTTCCCATGGGTGCCAGAGGAAATGGAATCGATAGGTCCAAGAGAACCATACTGAACGCTAGTTATTGAACCATATTGAACGCTAGTTCAGTATGGTTCCAGTGGGATCGCATAATATTACTGGATTCCTCTCGGCATTGGGTTCGAATAACCACGTCAGATACCCTGAATTATACTACTTGGCCTAATACCACTTGGCTTTTGGGCAGGAATACAAATGGCCGACGTCTAGAATGCCTAGACGTCTGTAGTACCACAGCCTGTCAACACATAGACCATTGTTGCGGCTTCGCTTGACGTTGTAGCAGAGACAGGCGTGCCTTCAGTGTTGTGACTAACGAAGACACTGGACGGAGGAGTGGTATCACTTCGTCTTTTCAGAGGAATCCCGATTCTGTATGATGGACATGAGAATCAGGATAAGCGTGTACATGTCTGGATGCAGCGAAGAAAACGAATGTTGCCAGTTTCCGTTCATCATCGTCATATCGGCTAAGCACATGGCGTACTACGACGGGTGCCGTTGAATAGATATCCTGGTCACTTATTGTTGGCATAGATGATAATATGGACAATCGCGTTTACATTTCTGCCATGTTAAATTTCTGTCATTCGGGGCCTGCGTGATAAGATAATGCATTGCCGAATATTGCCCCTGCTGTCCTGACCTTTCTCGATACAGGGGTTGTTCGACTGTTCACCTGGCCAACAGGTTCTTTAGATCTCTGACCCATTGAAAACATATGGTGATGCGCTGCCAAGAGATTGGCACGCTCCCACTCACCACCTGGTATCATTGTTGCTGCTAGAGTTGGAAGCTATCGACTGACTTTCCTGCTAAAGTTGGAAGCTGAGTACCCCCAAACCATCCGCATGTTTAATCATGTTTTTCTCCCATTATATTGTTTTCTTCCCTGGTGAAGCAATTTTAATGACCAGTAGTATAGAATTGAAGCTATGTAAGGGTACACGTAATTCTGTGAAACACTTTAGAAATTCATAAGAAATATTACTGTGCAACAGATACTAAATTTTATTATGTTGAAATAGAGATAAACTCTATTTCTGAAGTATTTTTACATATTTCACAAACGCTCGGTATGTTCATCTTAGCTGACACTATAAACATATTTGATTCTCTAAAATAATTAGCTCTGACTTATACTGGAAAGCTGGTAGAAAGTCAATTTATTGAAAACGGTAATGATCATCTTTTATGATAACATCCAGCTCATAATAAAAGACATCAGTTATCAGACAAAGTGCTTTAATAAAAATCTGCCGTAAAGCTGAAAATCATTTGTGAAGTTATATTAAGCAAACTTCCCCATTAAGATGGATACGATGTATCAGACAAGGAGATGATATGCCAATGCAGTGACCATCATTGCCTTCGTATTTACATTAATACTTTTTATATGGGGATTTGTAAAGATCGTTGAGCCTCCATTCCTCACTCATCTATAGGCTAGTCACAATGGTATCACTTAAATACACTGTAGCTCTGCAAAATTATGATATGCTATAATTAAGAGATAGCTGTGTTTTTTTCAACAAAGGTGGACGCAAGCTTGGTTAAATATGTAAAAAAAAAAAAAGGAAAAAAAAAAAAAAAAAAAAAAAAAAAAAAAAAAAAAAAAAAAAAAAAAAAAAAACAACATACGTCAAATGTAGTTGCATGGTATCAGGTTATTCCAGAAGAAATGTACCAAAAGCAAATTCATATCAAAGAATGAATGCTAATTAATTTTCAATTTATCTTCATCAGACATGAATGCAATTTAATTAGAGACATATAAACTGTCAACAACGCTCAACCGTTTCGTATTTTTAAGGTTTAAAGCAATGTGTATCATATAAGAAACATTACCGCAATGCAATTTATACCACAAGAACACGCATTGCGCCGTGCGTGTTCTTATGGTATAAATGGTTAACACATCTAGCTGGCACTGGAAGATAAGTGGTTCGAATCGAGGCGAAGGCTCATTTGATTGCTTTATGCATCGTAATCTGAAAATTCTAAATAACCTATATATATTACATTTCGTTTAAACTTTATATCCAAATAGAAACTTTAGACATAAAAAAATTTCATTATTAACAACGATTAAAAATGGAGCTTTGGGATATTTGATACAACTTTTGACAGACAAAATATAGCTTTTATGCTATCTTTCTCAAGAAGAAAAAAACAAATTGAACCTTAAATTGTGTTGTGATGTTTAAATGTGAAATTTACCTTTAATATTTCTTAAAATTATACATAATTCTGTTTTGATACTACATTTTGATATTCTATTCAGCTTATCAAAATTTTGATTCGTAAAAGTTGATTGATTTGAAGTTCTAATATCTGTAAAATTTGACCTTAATTAAAATTTTATTCTATTATTAAACACGTACATATTCATAGGATATCTGAAGGAAAAGTATACAAAATATCGAAATTAAGTCTTGAACAACTGACTTCAACAATACTATAGGAAGACTGAGAAAATGTTTTGTTTCATTGCAAATTGTTGCACTAAAATTTAATACGGATACTGGTATTCAGGCATTTTCTGTGTTAAAAATTTTCTCCCATAACGCGTAACTATACCACCAATAGATCTTATTCCGGCTAGTCACAATACATATGCAAGTTTCACTTGCCGTGTTTACTTAGTTCGTTCTTTGAGCAAAATTATTGAGCTTGTAAGATACGTATATGAATGCGAGCTAGTACAAGCCGCCTCATATTCTTAACAATCTTAACATTAACGAATCTCTAAAATACTCCTTCTGTCATGGTGTGAACAAGAATAGGCACGATTAATATTTGCGAGTCAAGTTTAGATATCACTGCTTATAATGTAGCATATAATTTTTTGTACTTTTTTATAATTTTCGTGAGAAGCCTTTAAATGTAATTATGGTATTTCAGTAGTAATGTAATAACGATAATGATTTACCTTGGGTCCAAAGATGAGTATAACAGTGATTGTTGTGCTGAGTTGAGTTCGTATGAAACCAAAAAGATATTTGATGTCCGGGCCTGCATTGGGAAAGATGACAAGACTAGAAAAAAGCGAAAGAATCTTTCAATTAGTTCAAGAAAAATATAACAATTTCATACTGAAATGGTTATTTGCAAAAAAGGTAAAAATCGATGATATGAAAATCTGTAAAAACAATGCAAAAACATTAAGTGTATCCTTTTCCTAATGTAAGAGAATTGTATAAACAATAATTAATGCAGTGTATAAAAACCGATGTCGATATTCTCGGTGAACGTCAGCATTCACATAATCGTTGGGTGAATGTCCAAAATATTTGCTAAGTATGATTATTTCTCGCTTACACCTGAAAATACTGACATTCATCATGCAGTGATGAAGAATGCTGAATAAAAAGTATTTTTGTAACTTTAATACAAAAATGCAACTTTAAAAATCACATTTTAATATTAAAACTTATTATGGTACATGTGAAATATTAGAAAGCCTAAGTAACATGTAAATAAAACTATTGAACCTAAAACGAACAATATATTCTAATTAAAAAAAAAAGAAAATAATACCAATAATCAACTTACACAAAAATTATGCCATTAACGTTATACAAACTTATTTGCACAAACAACTTAAACTATTACGACACTTTGAATTGCACAAGAGTCCCTTACTTTTACAAACACAACTGTTCGTGAATCACTTCTTTTTTTTTACAATTACAGCATATATAACATTGCCTTACCCTTCTCGAATTATTTGCTGCTGCCTATGCCGTCATGTGCCTATGCCCCCATGAATTATTTGCTGCGGCATTCTTGAGAAAAAATTTCATCTAGGCTTGTCGTTCCAACTCCCACCGGAGCTTATGTGTATTTGTTGACATATACCGGCGACGATCGGAATGTATAAAAATATAACCAAGTATTCCGTCTTTCACCGATGTGTTTGGTATATGTGTCGATATTCATCGGAGAATACTGACATTCTCTTAAGTTCTATGTATACAGGGTAACACCAGTGTTAGGTAACATATACAGGGTGGCGCGCAGGACTAAGAGATTCTGAATCCCGTAGAGCACGATCATTGTTAAATATAGGAATACTGTGAGGCCATGATAATGTAGCATATAGAATGCCATTTCAGTTCTGAAGAAATCGGTTGGAACATTTGAAGAAACGGGGTCAATATTGAACTTGAGACATGTAGGACCAAGAAAAACGGTACGAACTCCTAAGACTATCCAAGCAGTAAATGCAGCGTTTGAGCAAAATATGCAAGGTTTTGCAGGACGACATACCAAGTCACTAAAATTAACAGGTCGGAGTTTTACTCGCAGGTTTGAAACTGCATCCACATGAGCTTGAGGTAATCCATGCATTGCAGGAAGGCGATCTCAACAATCAGGAAATTTTTGGTTTTAGCCAAGTGTAACGATTATCCAAACTTCCTTGAAAATTTGTGGATGTCTCAAAGATGAAATGTCTAATGAACTCAAAGCTGCGACATGTGAAGAGATTTGACCCGTTACTGTGGAAGTACTGCAGAAACTTACAAGGAATGTCCATTCACGAATGTATGAATATTATCTTAGAAAGGGACACCATTTAGAGGATGTTATTTTCAAAATGTTAGTTCCTTGTCCATTTTTGTATCCATGTTGTTAACGTCAGAGTACATGTAATACTAGTGTTCATTTCTGCATTTTGAAAATTTCCCACTTCCGAGTGCTATGTTATTTCAAATTATTTGCACAGTCCATGAGATTTCTCCTAACATTCCGCTTCCTTTCTGATCTTTTATTATCTTTCAAGATAAGTAAGTCACATTACATATTACAGAGAGGCAAAGCTACTTTATTACGCATGTAAATGACACATGTAGAAGCTGGTTATGTTATATAAATGCTAAGGTAATAGAACAATGAAAGAGGGCATAAATGATACATTATTAAAACATGATATGCTCAGAATACTTTTTATTTTAAATTAAAGATGTATGTGCTTTGTGTTCATAAGTTTAAATAATTCTTGTATAATTCACTAAAAATTTTACTCTAATGAAACTTATAAGGTATTTCGCCCGCCTTCCTAGCATGCCTTCGTGGTGTGGTGATCTCCACGCTGGGCGCGTATTCCAGGTCCGCGGTTCGATTCCAGGCGAAGGCATTGCTTATTTTTCATCACTCCCGCTTCCAATCAACCTAATGTCCCTACAGTGGCGCCTGAACTAAAAGGGTGGTAGATGATGATTCTCCACACTCAGGATTTGCAGATTAGGTCCCCTAAAAACTCCAGTCGCCCTTTGAAAGGGTATATATATAAGGTAGTTTTCCCGCCTTCTTAGCGTTCCTTCGTGATGTGGTGGTCTGCAGGCGGGCGCATATTCCAGAGGTCTGTGGTTCGATTCCCGGCGAAGGCGTTGCTCATTTTTCACTTCTCTTGCTTCCAAAAAAAAATCCTAATGGCTCTACAAACTTGAAACTAATGTATAATAAATTATACATAAAATCAATTTAAAAAATTTAAATGACCAATTTAATATTCAAAATTACTTATATTCAGATTTTTTTTTTCAGATGAAAGAATTTAACGAAGTACAAATCAAATGAAAGAAAAGAAACAAGCTTGCAATTAAGAATACAAAAATAAAAAAAAAAAAAAAATAATTATTCCTAATACGAAGAAAAGTCCTTTAAATAAAATAAGCAACATAATAAATAAATAGATGAAATAAAACTACAGTGTTTAAATATTTTTAGAACGATTTCGATAAAGAATTAAAAAATCGAATTTTTTAGAATAAAACCTTCTGGCAACAGCTTATTATACGAAATGAGAAATATCACATGCTGCTTTTAAATTTACCTTTCTTTCAAAATGTGGCAATTAAAGAAACTGTGGACTGACGAATTCGTTTTTGCATTTTACGAATAAAAAATGCTCCTATTCCATGATTCAAAATCATAGTGAAATGCATAATATTAAAATTTCTGAGCGCAAAATAAGCAAATTTATCAATCGGAAAGGGAAAAGCCGTCAATCGTTACTGCAAATGAATTCCCGAAAATGTTATGTACTGTTTCTAGTGTTTCTAAATTTGATTCGTTGTTAACAACATAAAATCCGAAGATGCAGAAATCGATTGAAAGATATTTAAATAGTTTTACATACGTAGTAAATATTAAGTAAACAGCGAATCAAAATTTACAGTTCACCCCCTTGACACTTTTAATTGTTATTATTTCTGCTCATTTTCCTTTTTAACTTGGCGCCCCCCTGGAAAAGTCATAAAATCAAATCGATTAGGTGGATGGGGGGCTGCGCCTTTTTCTGTACCCCCTTAACATTATGACGTCCAGGAGATGTCATTGATTTCATGTGCCATTGTAGACTCTGACGTCTCCGAGACGTCAAGAACTGTCTTCGGCGAACGCCGCGCAGTATATTATTATTGTTATATAAAAATGCAAATTTGAAAATAAAATGTTTTGTTTCTAAGCTTGGACGTGAGTGTCCAAATTAAATGGCATTCTTCGGACGCGTATTTTATTTGTATGTCAAGGGGTTAAAAAAAGGCTAAAAAAAACATAATATTTACCAGGTTTTGCCGAAGCATGTGACGCCCCGCAGAACAATTTCAAGAAACCTGTATGGAAATTATTTAGCAGAAGATAAATGGAAATATGCTGATACGCTTGGTTTACTAAATGACTGCAACAACAACAACAAAATAGTCTATTTATTATCGAAAACGAAGAAAAAGGTATATAAACCTGGTTTCGCCACTGCAAAGAAAGTTTCAGTCAGGCGTTTATGGTTTTCGAAGGATTACCTTACAAAGAGAAATTAAAAAAAAGAAGAATGAGAAAAAATGTTAAAATCAACACTACTATCAAGTACTACAAAGAGAAAGTATGACATCCGATATTTACAGAAGGAATAAATACTCCCAATGACTTTCAAAAAGTGAAACTTCATCAAGATAGAGCAAGAAGTCATATTACGAAAAGTACCACTTCATTCCTTGGAAAAATGAAGGCTGATACAGGCATAGCATATAACATTTCCAACGTACTCTTGCAAAGTCTCACCCATGGACTATTATGACTACCTATAGAATTTCTTGAAAAGAACTCTTTCTAAGCGCAAACCCATCACAATTGATGGACACTGGAAAGTAGCGGAAGAGGAATGAAAATCAGTATCCCTGGTAATTTTACGGAACACCATTTTATCATCGAAATCACGGTGCAGACTTATAGTCCAGAAAAAAAAAACGCTATCAGATTGAAAATAAAATAAAAATCTACATTCTGAACATTAATTAAATGGCCCCGAAATCGTTATAAAAATATGTTATTTTCTCTATAAAATAATGAAATCCGATGTGGACACCACGTGGCTTTCTGTTACGGCATTTTAAATTATACTTATTTTTTGGTTCATTTGATTTAAACCTTTTTCCTAGATTTCTTCTAACTTAATTAAACGATTCTTGAAGAAAAGCTGAAAATGATAAAACTGTAAATTTTGTAAATAAATAGCTGAGTTAATTTTTCTTGTACAGGAGTCAAACTTCTTGCATTTTTATTTATTCTAAACGAACGTGGAAATTTCACAAATAGAAGTAGCGGAATCTGAAGACTGTATTAAAAGTGTGTTACTTGTCCAAAATTAATTTCTTTAAAAATTTGAAATTTCTAGACCATGGATATTTTAGCCATTTAAAATACATCTGTAACAAGGTGTGTGTGTACTTGATATGTATGTATTTGATGTGTATTTGGTAATATCGATTGTAATAAACAAGGCAGGTGCACAACTAGAAATTATGGCATTCCTATATACTGAATTCCAATGTTCTACGGCTAATCTTTTTTGAGTTTTGTCAGATATATACATATATATATGTATGGAGAGATGAAAACGGAAACATCCATTTTACAATCTGTTTTTGGATAAACAGTCCATTATTCTGTCATTAAGTACAGACATCACGCAAAAAATAATCAAAATGGACTCAGAACTGTCAAACTGGATATTTCCTTTGAAATTTGATAACCGAAAGTTTTCGCAATTACAATACTTCTTTTTCTTCGCACAAGGAAGTAAAAAGGTAAATATGAAATAAGCCTATACGAACTCAAACACATTGACTTTTAAGATATTTTCTCTTTTTTATCATTTATTTTTTATAGCACCCTTCGAATTATTTAGGAAAAGTTAGCTCGAAGAACAATATTGTACCTGTTGTATTTCAAATAATACTGCTACTATGAAAATGTCTTACAATTTTTAGTAAAATTTATTAAGGTTTTTTTCTTTTTAAATTTATGAAGTTAATGTGTTCGAGCCTTTCACTAAGGAAAACTCACGGGATCAAGGCCTATGTCTGTTATTAATAGTCGCCTTTAAATGGAAGCCCACCGTTTGGGTTCGAATCGCTGCGAACGGGCTGGTTGCATGGGCAGTTTCGTAGTTTTTTCCCATGTGTAACGTGTATAAGAGTCAGTTTCCCTTAGAAAGTCCTCCACGAAGTCATTCCTTCCCTTAGGCAGATAGCCCTCCAGTGTTTTGCCGTAATTAAATAAACCAAACCAAACCAGCCTTTAAATGAGAGTTTATTTGCCTCCTATAGAAATTTGACTCTATTTAGATACGCATTTCTTATCGTGTCAGAATTGAAATCTGTCATATCTTAACTACGACTATTTAATCCCAATTGGAGATTTGATTATTTTGCTTTTAAAATTCCTAATAAAAATTTAGTATTGCTGAAGTTAAATATTGCTGAAATTAAATATTGCTGAAATATTCTTATTATTTCAAATTACAACTGTTTTCTTGTCCTTATAGTTTTCATATTTTTAATAAGGTATGTACAAAAGCATAATTATGAACATAAAAAATTATCGGATATTATTACTTAATTATTAGATAAATTTATTGAGACGTCAAATTTCTACAGAACATGAATTCTAAATGTTTTTTTCTAATTTCCTAATGCACGGGAAGTACAAATATTGTCGTTTAAATATCAGATGTAATAGATAACTTTATACTTACTGTATCATGACCATAATGATATTAACAATCGTAATACTGTGAACAGCCCAGCTAATGTGCTTCGCTTCGTTGAACACGGATTCGGCGTTCCGAACGTTGTAACACACTCGGATGCCCCACAAAAGAAAGAGAAATTCACCTATAAAAAGAAATTTTACTTGTAAAATGTAACAGTGTATCGAATCGCATGCTTTAGATTATTTTCTACATAAATTTTACTCAAAGCATATCAGTGAGAAAAATCAGAAAACCTTCGTATTTTATTTCAGTTTTCAGGTTTACTTCCAAAGGGGCGTTTATTTCATTCACATACACGATTCGAGAGCATTTGGGCTAAAAATATTTAAAAATAGTATATCTTTAGGATTCCGGTGAGCGCGCTGCCAGTCTAGCGCGCTGGAGATAGAAACGTTTTATTCCATGCAATGTTGTCACTGCTCACATTCAGATCGTGAAGTTTTTAATAAACAATTGGTTAAAGTTTTACAAAATATGAAATAAATAGTAAAACAAATACAAAATTCAAAATTCAGGCTTCCAGTGCCCCATATGTTCGGTTCGGGTAGAGAACATTAAAAATATTTGAATTTGAATATTAATTTTCTTTTTATGAAATGATCATTTCTAATAATGTTAAAGGATTTCTATAAAATTCGTTCTATGGAATAATGCAAATTTTAAGGAAAAGTGCAAATTTATGGAACTTTACCATGTTAGGCCCATTTTTGTCACAATCGTATTTTGTTATATTGCCAATTTTAAAGAAAAAAAAATTTACTTAATAGTTTATAAGATTAGGATTAGTGTTTTAAAATTTAGCTTAAGGAAAAAGTGCAGCTCTATTGAATGGTTTATAATGTCAAAATCTATTTAGAAATGTCGATTTTATAGAAAAAGCCTATTCTTGTCAAAAGAAGAAAAGTTTTACTAGTAAGTTACATTATGTTGGATAGTAATTTTTATCGCAGCAAAAAACAGAACACAAATTGTGTAGATGAGTGAATTCGTGAAAAACTTGAGAAAATTTAGCAGTCTGTGCTTACAATAACCATTTCACGAAGGATTTTACAGTTGAGAAGTTTGACAACTATTTAAAAATGTAAGTTTTAGATAGCTAGTCTGATAGTGAACAACATATTACACATTTTAAAATTAAAACCTACATATATAAAGCCGATAAAATTTTGGTATTGCATTGGACGCCGTGGTATTAGTATTAGACTAAACCTACCATTAAAATGGACGATATTTTCGTTCAATACAATGTACATAAATAGATTTGTTTTCATTAAGTAGTTTGATTTTAAATTTAAACAAAGATCCTTCGGTATCGGACTGTTTAATCGGCATGGACATATAACACATTATTGTTCTATGTAATTAATAAAAAGACATTTTCTAGTACACTAGGCTGCTGCACATAATGTGGTCACTTTTATCTATGGTTATTTTGATAACATTAACCAAATTATAAAATTAAAAAACAAGAAAAATAACCTTCAAAATAGCAGTGGTAACTAATTTAATAAGTAACTAATTTAATATAAATAGAACAAGAAATATATAAATAGGTACTTTCCCAACATTTGAATTAGGAAAATGCAGAATTTTGTTTGTGAATTGTTTATAATGTTTTTAATGTTTATAATCTTTAATGTAAAAATCTGATAGTAAATTTTCGGTGAATAAGATTGACTTTGGGTCTACACAATATGCTTTTGCTATTTTTAAAAGGATATCTGTCTGTCTACGTATATGCGTGCAGCGACTTTTTGACCGTCATTAACCTCACTCTTTCACTAATTCCTGTGTTCAAGCTTTCTGCATTCATATAAACAGTTGATTAGATATGGGATAAAAGTGAACAACAAAAAATGTGGTTCTTGAAGGACCATAATAGTTTTAATGGACAATCAGACGCAGTATTTTACTTGAAGCCCATAAGTTTTGATGCAATCGACCATAACATATTGTTGGATATATAAACTAAACATACTGTTGCAGCTTAACGAGCATTGTTTACTGATATTTAAATATCGTGGGGATATACCCACAGATCAAAATGAATTTGGATTTATTGTTATTATGGAAATAACATAGATAGAAATTCAGTTATGATTTTCAATTCAAAGTGTTTATTTTAAATATAATATAAACACTTAATTTCTTTAAAAACAATTTAAGTTACACGTTATTCAACTTACCAATAAAATGTAATTTTTAATTGAAAAATAAATGCGTAAACATTTGATTATGTTAGCATAAATTAAAAAAACAGTTCTAATGGCCAATCATAACTAATAAAATATAATTAAAAATTTTTGTTCATTAGAACGACAAACAGATTTCGTTTACAAACGACTAACCGGAAGTGATACGTTCCTTAAAATTAATAACTTTCAAATACCTACTATAAATTAATAATTGTATATAATTTAAATCAACGCTAAATCTAAAAGCATGCGATTAAATTGGAAGTAATATTTTGATCCAAAGAGAAAGACTAATCGATGTGGATAATTAAACTTCTACCTTATTTGCAACTTATCCGAAGTAAATGACTCTAGTAATGACCTTAGATATCGCTTTTAATGATTTGCCACTCTGGTGACAAAATTTGTCCTTGGCGATATCTCTTAGGTTTCCAAAACTTAGATCAGCTAATGAATATACTATACAGAGTCTCCGAACTCTGATTTTCTGAACAGTCTAATTTCCGGTTGCGGTATGTTGAAGCTGAGCATTAGTTCACTTTTCGCCTTTACTGGAAGCTTAATCTCGTGTTTCCAAAAAGATCCTCTAAAGGGATTTTCAACGATGGTTAAAAGCATAGCTGTCTTGGTATACGTATATTAAGAAAAGAATAGTAAACCCAAAACTACTGGATAATTTTTTAACATATGCATTCTGACAACCTAATAGTGTTGAGGTTTTCAATGCTTCAAAAAATACCCATAATTTCAATTTTACTAGAGCATTAGGACACTGTTACTTCTTGTTTATTATGGTTTATAGAAATATTTTTTGAGGGAAGATAATGAGGGATTTTGATTGTTGTTTGCTTCATTATTTGGAAAAAATTACTAGCTTAAACTTTTATGTGCCAATTCATTACTGCAATGATATGCAACAATAAATTGTGATATAAAAGCATGCATATTTAGAGAACATAGCTGTGAATAAAATTCAACATTTATTTATCTCAATATACTTACAGATATCTCAATATACTTGTATTTTGAAATACGTCCGACATGGTATACGCTCTGTTTGTGTGAGAAAGCTTTTGTGTGCTAAATAAGATTTATTTGGAATACAACTCGAGTTCGAAGAGTCATGATTGGGCTTACTACACTCAAAATTCAGAGCCAATAAAAAGATCACTAACCAGTTTGAAACTTATGTTGTTTTGGAGTAGTGTAATCTTACTCGTGTTATCTATCATGTTATCATGAACAGTTTCGCTTATCTTCGAGCATGAGTACCTGAAACTATTCTACATTAATAGGTACCTCGGAAAAAAAAACTTTATAATTCTCGCGTCGCAGATATAAATTTTCTATGGAGACAAAAGCATGTCATAACATATTTAAGAATTTCATATATTCCTTTTAGTCCTGACTCCTATTGATATAATTTATTAGTGCAGTGGAACCTTAGATCACAACAAAATGTTTCATTAAACAATTTCCGAACGAAAAATGTTCTGGATGACGAAGGATGTCAGGAAATACGAACAAATCAACAGGCAACAAATGACACTGAAAAATACAGTTAACGCAATGGAGGAAATTACTTGAAAAGGAGGAGAAGGCAGATGGGAAAATATGTTACTAGTTATCTGATCTGCAAAATATGTGCCAAATAAAGAATACAAAATAAGAAGTGTGCCAAATACCAGTAAGGTGGAAAGGTTCACAGAATATTATTGCCCTGATAAAGCAGTAGTAAGCAGCAGCATAAATATTTGCAACTGGCAATGTCATATCTTGTGTTAGAAAAGTTTGAAACGTAGAGGGAAGTAAATCATAGTGTGAAAATGTTTAATGGAACAGATGCTTAGACTCAAGTAGATGCGATCGGTGTTAAGAGAAAGAGGAAAAACATCAGAAATGCAATAGCTACTTGGTATGCTTACGAAATAGGATTCCCTTTTCAAACAAAAAAGCATTTTGCACCTTTAGCGTTTTCATAGTTTTTTTTTTTTTTTTTTTTTTTTTTTTTTTTACGCCGTCAACTTTCCTTCATAGAGATAAAGTGAAATTTACTTCTTCAAGTTTTTTTATATATTTTTATCATTGCGTTAAATGCTGTGTACATGTTAGTATCATGCATGTAAAGTGTGGGCCATCTAAAGTTTGGAATTTGAATCGTCTATAAAAAACTAATGAATATTTTTTTTAAAACTATGAATTTATTAGAAAGATTGCACTGAAACACATCATTCAAATGACTGCCAAGGCTGGCTTAACAGCCAATTTTTCAGTACATTTTCGATTGTTTGGGCTCCAGTCGCATGAATGGCAATTTCGATTTCGTGTTTCAAGGAATCAATCGTCTGTGGGTGGTTTTAGCGTAGCACTTATCGTTAAGGGTTCCCCCAAAAAAAAGTACAACGGAGCCAAGTCACAGCTCCGAGGCGGCCAACTGATATCAGAATTTCGGCTTTATTACTCGATTTCTAAAAGCAGTGTGCAAAAGATCGATGGTTACGTTGGCTGTGTGGAAAGTGACCCTATCCTGTCGAAGCCAAATGTCCCCATGTTATTCTCTTCAATTTTCGGAAACAACGATTCGTTGCATGGCACGGTAACGTTCGTTATTGACGGTAACAGCGACTCCTTGCTCATTTTCGAAGAAAAATGGCCCAATGATGCCGCTGCACCAAAAACCATTTTAACCCCTTTGGATTTTTTTTTTGTTTTTGTGGGGAACCCTTAAGGATAATTATTACTCTAAACCACCCAGAGACAAATGATGCCTTGAAATACGAAATCGAAGTTGCCATTTATGCGGTTGGAGTAAAAACAATCGAAAATGTATTGAAAAATTGGGCTGATCAGATGGGGTACTGTCAAGCCAGCCCTGACAGTCATTTCAATGATGTTGTGTTTCATTCTTAAATAAAAATCTCCAATTTTTCTAATAAACCCTTAATTTTGAAAAAAACATTCGTTAGTTTCTTTTATAGCCGATTAAAATTCCAAAAGTTAAATGGCCCACCTATATTAGACTTAATGATTTCCGTTGGTTTTGCATTTCAAACATAATACAAAGTATTCTATGTTAAGCAATCATTTAAGTTTTGGGAATGCATGAATTCATTTTGCATTAAATTCTATGGGGAAAATTATTTTGGTTTTATAAAATTTCCGATGACGAACTATCTCTAGGAGCGAATTAAGTTTGTGAACTAAGGTTTCACTGTAGTAGTTTTCGCATCCCTTATTAGTAGGTGTTTTGATTACCCCACATAAGTTATTAGTATGAACCACGGCGTCAAATCGATTCCAAATAGATGTACGATGTTAATGCAAAGAATTCATAATTAATGGAATGCTAATCAATAGGTATTATTAATCGCGATTTAATGGTACAAAGAAGCAACATAGTAAAGTAAAAAATTGCATTTTAGAGAGAACATGCTAAATTGCTAGATAATGTTAATTTTTTTTTTAACTTTCAAAACAACTAAAACATTTCATATCAGCACACTTAACTAATGTAAAAGAGGCGTGTTTAGTTTCATGCATAAGTATGCCAAGGTCAGAAAATTCTAGTTTGCGTTCTAGCAGTAATGAAATTTTTCCAACATCCTAATTTTAATGAGGTAAATGTATTTCGGAGACCGTACATTTGCGTCGTAGAACCACATTTAACGACACGAGTAATGGATGTTTTATCGATCTAAGTTTCTCTGTCGTAACTTTAATGGCTCCTTTATAGGCATCACTATAAGTAGAAAGCATTTTAGTGCACGATTCTTTGTTTTTTGAAGAAAACAGCTGAGGACACCGCAACAAAATAGCAAAAGGCATATATTATCTGAGGACATATTTATTAATTTTAACTAAAAATTTTTTTTTATTTTTAGGCAACTCATTTTTTAAAAAAGTGCGGTAACATTTTTGTGGTTATGTTACATTCTTTTCCCCTGTAAGCAAGAAAATTCTCAAATTACAGACTATGAAATTCTTAGACTTAATGGAATCTAAGTATAGTATCTTGTAAAAAAAAAAAAATTTTTTTCGTGTGTGTGGGGGGGGGCATGTGGTGGAAGAAATAGCGAAAATCATACACTTCCTCGCTGCGTTACGAACCATGAAACTTCCGATTATCTGCTGGATGTGTCACCAGTTACACTACAAGAGACCAATTGCATAGGGAACAAAAATAATTCTTAGAAAAAAATTCATGAAAGTATATAGGGCGCTTTTTTATATAAATTAAACATAGAATATCCGGGTACGAAAAATACGACAGTGATTTCTAAAGACAAATATCTCATATTTTAGTTTGAAATCTCAAGCATTCCTTTTGTATTTATAATTAAGGTAACATGCGCGCACTTTTAAAGAAATTATTCGCTGTTAATTAATTAATAGAATACAATAATTAATTGTTTATATCGAATGTTAACTTTTCGTATTGGAAAGGATCGAATTAGCATTGTAGCATTCGTATCGAATTGCATGTTAATTAATTTTTGGTGTCGAATGGTTAATTATTCTTATTGAATGGATTCAGTAGAATATCAAAAATTGTTTTTATACTATAAATATTTAATAAGCCGTTACTTGCACTTTATAAAAATTCTTAGGTGACTTACCGTTTTTATAATTTTACTTATCGTCATGCGTTACAGGCTGTTAAAGATGTCAATCGTCTGCTCTTAATGGATAGTTTTGTCATTTGAGAGCAGACACGAAAGCGAAATGCGAAATCCTTGGCAGAAATGAAAATTTATTGGGCTCTTGATATATAATCACAATAGTGCATTGAAAATAATATGAATTTGGAGGAGATTGTCGTCCAGTCTTTTTCATTGGTCCAGCATCCATTCCTCGCAGACCTGAAGTACAAAAATGTTACGCTTATCCATATTAACAAGTCTAATTATTCGGAGGCGACTTGACAAACTTTGACAACAAATTGAATTGGAAATTTCATGCATAATAAATTGCAACTCGCTTTTTGAACACAGATACTGCTTTAAAGCGACCAGCTGGACCTTTTGGGGATGTGATAGCTCAACGTAAACACTACTTACAAGATTTTTAACTTCCCTTTAACTACTTACTCATGTGAACCACTTATTTCGGCAGGTGAATACTTTTTAAGAAAACTGGAACTTTAACAGAATCAGGCTCTTAGGCCCATTAATGAGGTCGCCAATTCAGCATCGATTGATGCTATGCTTCTGCTGACAAACAACAAACCCATTAAAGTTATCACTGAAGAAAAAGCTTTGATTCTTTTAGATCTGGATTGATTATCCAATTAACACAAGAAATTAAAAAACTCAAAACAGTTTTGCTAAGTTTGCCCGGGATGTCAAACAAACTTTGAGATTTTGAGTTCTCGGATAATACTCAAAGGTTTACAAAACAGATTGAACCAAATTTATGCCTTTCTCTCTCTCTAGAGTTAGTTTCTTTTGAAACAGGCCAGGAAATCTCCTAATGTCTGCATTATTTACGGGGGTGGGATGGCTTTAAAAATGAAATGTATAGTCTTTCAGTGGATACCTAGCCATTGTGACAGTTTTGAGAATGAGTAGGCCGAGTACCTCCCAGAAGGGGGCTCGAGTGTACTATAAACAAAATTTTTGACATTATCCTTCCATTCTATAAAGCTTTATATCAAGCAAATAATGGAAAATGGAATAAATTGCAAATTCAAGATAGGATATGTAGAGACATTAGGTAATCTTAGGAAGCAGGCAAGATGAAAAATATGTAACGCTATCGCCGGGAATCGAACCACGGACCTCTGGAATACCGGCCCAGCGTGCAGAACCACTACATCACGAAGGCACGCTAGGGAAAAATACCTTAGAGATAAACTTAAAGCATTGGAGAACCGAGAATCTCTTTGTAAACCCCAGCAGTCCATAATAGAAGGATGGTGCCCAGTTCCGGCTCCTGACTGAAAATGACTGCTTGGAAGAGAACCTCCATCGCATAGGAAGCTTTTCAAACCCTGGCTAAATTACCCTGGCCAAATTACCCTGGCTCTCGGTAATTTGGCAGATATCTAATGAATAGAGATCACCGATGTCGATGTGCGTGACCTTTCAGCGACTCTGAAATGGCGCTTTGCTGACTGTACTAGAGAACTTTTGAGGTAATTACTTCGCTCACTTTTATGTGCATATTTTATTGTATGTTTGTACTTTTGTATTTGCCTTGTCATCGGAAATAAAGAAAATAAAAGGAAACTTATCCTTAAATTTTGAAATAAATATTTTACTGAAAGTGTATACGATATAGACAACGTAGTTATCTCTCCTGTCATGATCAAAGTAACAGAATTTTTGGTACTTCCTACAAGAGCTAGAAAGTGCTGTCTCATAAGGTACTGTTTAGTGCAATTTATTTAAACGCGTGTTGCGGGGTATTAATAATATCAAACGATTTCTTAAAGGATATGTGGCCACTGTTATCACACACTCAACCTGTCTTTCAATCATTCGTTCATTGAATCTTCAATCTCACCAATGGCCAGGCTATGGTCCCACCAGTTGTAATCGCATTGCTTGAACTTCAGGTTGTCCCAGTCTTTGATATAGACTGCTTCTGGGGGTGAAGATATCGTCCATGTTCCCAGGTAGATCGCCATCACTAGGAGAATGGGAAAAAGCCATTGCAGAAGCTGTTTGTCTGTGAGCTTCAGTTTGTGCGCTGATTTTACCCGGTATGTCAAGGAAACCCTGAAATCAGAAATTCATTTTGATTTCAAATATGAATTGAAAACAAACAGTACATTATTTGATTTCAAGTTTTTTCCTTATTTTCTAAATACATTGTTTCATTTTTGCTTGTATATGGATATTGAACGAAAAAGGAAACTTCGCCCGTAATTGATTGATTCAATAAATAATTGTGTTTTGTGTTTATTTTTATCAACAATAATGGTCCACTTTCAATTTAGTAAATTAATAGAAAATTGGCCCGGCAAATTTTAATTATTTTTTCATTAATGGATTAAATTGTTAATGATTTAATTTTTCTACATTAGTGAAATTTTCTGACTTTTGTGAATGAACACTAACTAAATTAGTAGTATTAGTTAAAATAGCATTTTAAATTATTCACTTAAAATGTACATTGAACAAATAACAGAAATAATTAACAAAACTTTTATAAACTGACTTTGTGGGATTTATTTAAAAAAATATTAAGTTTAATAAAATTCAGAAGTATTTATTAATCAACAGTAAAATACAAAGTTCTAAGCGAAAATTAAGCTTTACTGCATTTAAAAATATCTCCAAACTGAAATTCGTTTATCAGTTAGAAGCTTTCGTTTTTTTGTTTTTCTCAAACAAAGAATGTCTAATAAAATTCAAAGGTGAAAGCAAGATAAATTTCCTTCCCCTATTTTTTTCTTTTTTTCCCCCATTACCTAAATAGACTTAAAATGTTTAGCAAAGCTATCTTTTATATTCATAGTAATAATATGAGATGTATAGTCATTGTGACAGTATGAGGTGATGAGATATACAAAAACAAGATAAAGTAAAAAATGATTTTTTAAATAAAATTATTTGTGGATAAAAATTCTAACTTTACCTTTTGAGTAATATATGTCCTTTCTTTTTTTTTTAAAGCACGAAAGTGAAACTAATATGTTTCTTTTAACGTATTTAAGCTGAAATATACGAGTACAACGAACCCACGAACGGCCAAGCTATAAAGTTGTTAACACTAGTAGCTGCACATGGTAATCATAGTAAACTGACTGGTTGCATGCGTTTTTCGTGGCTTTCTCAGGTGTAATGTGTGTACGAGTCCTTTACCTTAGGAAGCCCTTAGAAAGCATTCTTTTAGGTAGATAGCTCTCGAATACTTTGCATAATCAAATAAACTAAATAAGTAAAATAAATAAAACCTATCAGCAGGAACTCAGAATTAGTTTTCCTTTTTTGTATTTTATTTCCTTCCCAGAAACTTTAGAGACTTCTTGAGAAATTTCAGTTACTCCCAATGGTTTTCAAAAGAACAACAGAAACATGAAGTCATGGAAGGAATATTGTCGAATATTTATGATTTCATCTTTATGATTATGACATGAAGTAACAATGATAAGCAGTGCTGTTATTCTATATATTCTTTCTCAGATCAAATGAGATGAGAATAAATGGAAAGAAAATTTCTGTTCTGTTATGCAATTTTTATACAATTATTTAAAAAACCTAGAATATTTGTCGGCCTTAATTTATTTTCGAGTACTGCAATGTTGATGAAGAAGAAATAGTTTTTTTTCACTTACTTCAAATACAACGACTAAGAATTCTTTTGCATTCTAAAGAAAAGGTTTCGAAATAATGACTTTATTTACATAAAGGAAAGAAATTCATTCCCTAACATTATTTATCAAGAAAAGAGTAAAAATTCAAAAGCGGTAATTGAGTTTCTTTTGTTTTGTTTTTTTTGAATTAGGAAGTCAGCTTCATTTCCATTTTAATTTAAGTCGCTTTTAGAACTATTGATTAGTAATAAAAAACAGCCTCTTTAGTTAATTACTTTAAAGTGAATTTCTCAAAATGGTAAAAATAAATAAACAGCAACTAAAATTAAAATGAAATGTCATGAAATAAGTAATAATTTTAGCATTAAATGCCATGAACGTTCGCAAACAAAACTACAAATCAGCATATTTCTTAATAAAGAAAAGAGTAATAAATAGTAATAAAAGCTAGTTTACGTAGAAAGAAACAAGATAGCAATACTATTTTACGTATGGGTATCCTAAGCAAAGTACATAATATACAGAATACGTATAAAATATTACAATATGTAACTATTTACATCATTTCCTTTTCGTAGCTTTTATAACATATAAGCCAATTCATATTTTCTGCAGTACACAATACATGTAGGAGGAACTATAAATAGAAATATTGAGAATATGACACCAGGCGATCGAAAAGTAACACAGAATTTCGGTTTGTCTAAATTAAAGTGCACAGAAGTGTTCTAAAATGATTTTTTAATCAAAATTTTATCTTGATACTGTGACATTTTTATTTCGATAGTGTGATATTTTATCTTAAAACTGTGAAATTTTTATCTTGATAGCGTAACATTTTTGTCTTGATTCTATGACATTCTTTTCTACTGGGTTATTTCATTAACATTTTATGGCCAAATAATTAAAAGCTGCATATTTTTCATATCGTGCGCTATGAAATTCGCTTGCTTGGAAATGCTGCATCAGTCAGTCGGAAGATTTTGTTTCACTGTACCCAGGAGATATGTTAACGTCAGTGAATCAACGTCAGTGAATCAACGTCAGTGAATCAACGAATCAGTGAATGTTAACGTCAAGAGTGGTTTAAGAAAATCCGGCGATGAAATTTTAAACTGGAACACGAGTCTGAAATTGAGTGATATTCAGCAGGATAATGATAAACCAAATACTTACTGAAAGCATAACTTGAGAAAATTTAATGGTAAATTCTTACTCATTTGAATAAGAGTTTAAATATTGATGTCTCTAATTGTTACCTGTTTTAATCACTGCAGCATTTCCCATTTAGTAAAACCTATACAGAAGTTGAATATTTAATAAATATATATTTTACGTAAAAATAAAATAATTTTTATTGTTCAAAAACAGGATTGAAAAGTTGCCTGAAAGATGAACAGAGGTCGTAGAAAGTAATGGATATTATATTAATAATAAAATTTATCCGACAGGAATTTATTTTTCCATTTGAAGTTGTCTGTCTCAATCTTGGAGAGCTTACCAATCAACCTAATGTAATGGAAATTTTCAAAATTGTGAAAGTAATGAAAGTTCAGTTTCGATGTCTAGTTTAATTAATTTATTTTTCAATTAATGTTTGACTACTATTTATTAATCAGATTTCATAAAGTAAAAAAATTATGCAGATCAAAAATTGAAGATGATTCTTATATTTAAATGTCTCTGATTAAAAATAATATCAACTATACAAATATTTTACTATTAAATATCTGTCTATTTTCTGTTCTTAAATATGGAAATCCTTTATGAACAAAATGCTTTTAATAATAGAGATATAAAAAATGATGGATAGAATTTCACAAAGATAATTTAAGCTTAGTGCAGCTCTCAGAAACTTTGTAGAGACATTAGGTATTTTTTTTTTGGAAGCAGGGAAGATGAAAAATTAACAACGCTTTCGTTGGAATTCGAAAAGCGGACCTCTAGAATACCGGCCCAGTGTGCGGATCACTACACCACGAAGCCACGCAAGGAAGGCGGAGAAATACCTTATATACTCCCCCCTTTTAAAGGGCTACCGTGGTTTTTAGGGGATTCAATCTCATATCCTGGGAGAGGAGAATCATCATCCAATACCCTTTTAGTTCGGGCGCCACTGTAGAGACATTAGGATTTTTTGAAGGACGGAGAGTTGAAAAATTATCAATTGCCTTCGCCGGGAATCGAACCCCGGACCTCTGGAATACCGGCCCAGTGTGCAAACAACTACACCACGAAGGCACGCTAGACGGCGGGAGAAATACTTTATAACTTAAATATTAAGAGTAATGCATTTTCATATAATATAAATAACATTGTTTTAAAATCTTGTTTTTCTCTTTAAATGCTTTTGAAGTCGTTAATGTACTATGACCAAATCCTGAAATTAATGAAACTAATGAAATTGATACATTCGGACGTAACAACATTCCCAGAAATAAAGAAAAACGTACTTATCCTTTTGCATGTTTAAACGACTGCACAGCTAAATAAAGAACTAAGAATTTGTACAGATAATATTTTACCGTACTTCCTCGTGTATATTGTCTGCTCGCATATTTCTTCTTCAGCCTTTTAGAGGTAGGTTCTGAAAATTTTTAAATATTCGCCTAATTTTCCTGTTCCTCTCTTATATATAGGTTTTTTTTCTATCTGGAGCTAGTTTATTGGTAAATTGTATTCCCTTCATTATTTTCATTATTGTTCTGTGTACTCAATTTGTATTTGATTTTTTTATTAGCATTTCATCTATTTTATTTCCCCTTGCATTTATTATTTGAAAAACATTTTGTGCAGATTCTTTGTTAAGATACCCGGACATCGCAGTTGTTCTCACACGTAAGAAATTTTTCAAATATGTGATTTGACGTACTCTTGTTATTTATATACCAGCTTCTTGTAGGCTCAACTGCTGATGTGTTCCATCAGCAGTCTTTTGTTCTCCCCCTTCTCCTTCGTTCCGTCGATGTCCGTTTTGGAAATTGAGATCGAGACTCATTCATCTCAAGTGTCCCTGGGCTTTACATGGTAACTGAGCCGGATTGCAGTATGTCTCATTCAAGATCCGTCAGATATTGTTATGTCATCCGTCATGTTATTCATCATCCTTCAGATATTGTTATGTCAGTATTACTATGTATTCTTATTGGAATGTAGGGGTTTCTTTAAAGAAATAACATTGTGATAGTTACCAGTAGTTTATTCATGACTACTTTTCATTTGTTATGTTCTTACTGTAACCGCTTTCTTCGAAAATTAAATAGCTCGCATAATTTTCCTCTCTGGATTTTCGGACGATAAAAGCAGCTAAAAAAAGGACGATAAAAGCAGTTACGCGAGAAAACACGGTGTTTAAAGAAGCATCTCGGTCCAGTTATAGTGCTTTATATTTACAAGCAAATATAGATTAAGGATACTGTCATGAGAGCAGCATACCTCCAAGTCTTGAGAAGCAGAGCACTGTATGTGAGACAGAATCCCATATGACGGGTCCATTTAGTTGCTATGCAGCTGTACATTGATAAAACAGGGAATATGGCAGCCATCTGTAATACAGAGATAGTGTAAAATTATGCATTCCAGAAGTAACTTTTCAGGTTAATTTACATTTAATAATTCAAGAAAGGAAAAAACAACCAAACTTCTAAGTACCAGGGAATATAAGTTACATATTTTATTTGCCTACCTTAAAGGTTTAGCAAACAAAAAGTAAACAAAACAGGATTATCGGTTCTCGTGATTATCAGATTACGGATCATCAGAAAACGCTTTCTCATGATCATCAGGAGGATCAGAATTATCAGAAAATGCTTGTCATGATCATGCACATCATGTGGGTTTTACAATCAGGTAATTCTTCATTTAAACTTTAACGTTAACCTTTACATCTGGAAGGTAATTAAAATCCATCTATAACATGCGCACCGAGGTGTTATACATTTATCGCTTTCCTTTAAACGATAACATAATTTATAAGTTATTTATTCAATAACAACGAATCTATTACACATGTGCTTCTAGTTGCACCACGAAAAGACATGTTCAGAAAGGAGAAAAACCTTACACTCTTCTCCACTTTAAACGGCGATTGGGTTGGAGGAAAGCCATTCAACACTCGCAAATCATTAGAATGCTTTCAACAATCACAATAATCTTAGTCACAATCAACTAACCGTAGAGGTACTCGTATTAGAAAACGGTAGATTTTAAATTAAATTTTTCGAGAAAAATTTTAAGCAAACAGAATGTAATCATGATACATATATACAACAATTCTATAATGTCTTATCTGTCGTTCTTTGAAATTCTATTAATATTCTATTAAAATTCGTATATGAGCACCTCATAAATTTATTTTTGTTCATGTATGATGAAGATTATTATGACAGCTGATAATTACTATTTTTTTAACTTTATAACACATTTAATACAACCTTGTATCTTAGAAATATTTTCACATATTTAATTTTATACCTTTTTATTCCATAAAACGGAAAAAAGTACTAAAGAGAGAAAATCACGGCTTCTAACTGAGAAATGAGCATAGCAACGATTAACATGCGATTTTATTGTTTTTCAAGTTCTTACTGCATAACTTCGCGTTCAGTTCATTTAAATTCCTGTTTGATCTAAAATCCTCTCCATTTAAATTCATTGGCCTAATAATAGTGAAATTTAAATCTTTTTCATTTAAAAATTCGCTATTTAAAAAAATATATTGTAAGTAAAAGCTCCAACGATTATCAAGTCAGTAAATATCATTAGAAATTTTGAAAAATGTTCGCTTGAAATATTTTACCTATGTGATAATATTAAAATTAAAATTCTACGACGATTACTTTTTCCATTATTTAAAGATCTCTAAAGCATTCAACATTAAATAAAAGAATTATATATCAGATTGTGAAAATAATGCATGGCAAATACGTATGTATGAAAATGTTTTAAAAATTCCTGTTGATAGAAGTAAGTCAAATACTGATTTGAAGATATAGTTTAAATTATCACACAGGGAAGCCAAGTTATGTAAAACTACATAGAAAGCAGAAATGTTATATTTGCTCACAAACTGATTCAAAGAACCTATTCACTTTACCGAGAGAGCAATTGGTGAATCATCAAAAACAGAGCGGTATGTTGCTTAGATGTCGCCTACGGAAAGTTGCTGGAAGCGGTCAGGAAAGTTCGATTCCAATTTAAGATTAGAAGGCTCAGGTGCTAGGCACTTCTACAGGCTCCTAGGCTGGGCTCCAGGCTCCTAGGCTACACACTCCACATCCTGTGTGTAGCGTCGCGAGGAAAAGTATATCTTTCCTGGCATAACATAGTGAATAGAGCATGACTATCTTAATTATGGAACTTGGCTTTCGCCAGACATTAGAGTTTTTGCCGCATGACGCGGCGGACGATACACAACGGTACCTGAGGGTTACTATTGAACAGCCTTTAAGATTAGAAATGAATGTTTATCTTTTCATGGTAAAAGTGAGTTTAATTTTTATCATTTCCAAATCATTTGAAAATTTTTTATAGTAGAATTTTATTCTTGGTTCTATGTAGAAAGGATATTTTAGGGAAAACAGTTAGCAGTTCCTCTGAGTCGACTTTTCCAATCACACTGCTAGTTCGATACTTTCCACTCTAAATTTTATTCTCGCTAGCGATTTTTAATTCAATCCCGTTCCCGATCTTATTCTTTAAGATTATTGTTAGTGACTGGTGAGCCATAAAAATTAACAGATTCAGTTTAGTGAGCGAACGTTTCTGATCTGATTTCAGAATGCGATATTCTCACATCTAAAATACTAAGAAAAATATATTCAATTTTTCTGCAAGTAGGCCCTGTAGGTTAAGTGTTTTCACAAGGTCTTCAACAATTCAGTTAAAAATTTGCTATAAAATCCTTATCAATATTTCAAAGAAACACAGCTATGAAATAAATGTTTAATGAGATTTAATCCATGAGAAACAAGAAAGCATGAATTTCAAGCCTAACTACTAAGTGATACTTTTAAGAGAGATCATTTATGACGGAAAATTAAGTCCTAACATTAAAATCTGTAGTATTAACAAAGATTTCAAAGAGACTTATTCTTACCTCACAATACATGATAACACAACCCAATAGCGTTATGCAGAGGAAAATGGGACTGGCTACGTTAATTACTTTGAGTTTCCTGTATCGATAGACATAAAAGGCCAACACTGAAGTCAAGAAGATACAAATCACAGAAATTGTCAGCAAAGATATCCTGTAAATATAACAGATAATTATTTGGCTAAAAATATTGTTCAACAATCAAGAACATTTTATGCTGATTATGAAAATTTAACTAATTTTTTAAATAAGTAATTGGAATTTGGGAAAAAAGATTTATATTATAGATTGTTCTCTAAGATCATGGGTTCTCAACCGGTGGTAAAGAGAAAAATAGGTGGTACGAAAGAAGCAAGATATTTTTAACTATTAAATTCAAAAATTAAAACCCCAACATCCTGATTGGGTAATTTACGCGATTTGAGTTTTGTTCAAGAGTGTTGGGGGTAGTAGTATTTTGTAGTGGTGGTACTGAAGGTTTTCAATTTTTGTTTAGATGGTACGTGTTAGTCAAAAGGTTGAGAACCGCTGCTCTAAGACTAAAATCAATATTTGTAGGAAAGTTTTTTAAAATAAGATTTTTATACAGTGATAGGATTTTATGAAGGAAAAAAATACAAAAAGAAATGCTCTAGAATCACGAAATATTAGTGTTAATAATTAAGCTTGCTTGATGTGTCCACCACTGATAACAAGACACATCCTTATTCTTACTAGAATTTCTTGTTGGGTGTTCTGCAGCATTTCAGGTGCTAACGTTACTGTACGATCAGATAACACGGTTCGCAGATCTTAAACATAACGACGGATAGATGAATTATTATAGATATAGATGAATTATACATTGAACGTATAAGAGTTTTATACGAAAGTTACTCAAGGTTTTTTAATTTATTGTGTAATACGTGTTTTATTTAAGAAAAATGGGAAATGTACGATAAAAATGAAAACTGTATGAGACTGGTAGCAATGAAAAAAAGAATAAACAAACAGGACATAGATTTTAAATACAATTTTAACGGGTCATGAACGTTTTCCTGAGAAATTTTAAAGATTTAATCTTCAAAACTTCGACCTTTGCGACAGCTGTGATGAAATTGGAGATGCTAAACAATTTGTGGATATAAGGAAAGATTTTTATCTTAAATGAACCTTTTAGCGTGAAATGGATTTTGTCAGATTTTGACAAGGCAAGAAGTCTGTAAAGAAAGAGTATACTTATATCAATAATAATCTTTCAGTGTGTGAATTCTACTTTAGTGTGTGTGCTGTGTTAATACCAATAACTGGGACAACCTAATTAAGCCATAGGGTCACTTTGTAGTGGTAAGGCACCATAGTCAGGTAAGTGGGGTGCTTCTCGCAAACAAGCAGTCAACTTAAATGTGAAAAACCATTAGAATTTGATCCTCAGTTTCAAATAAAATCTTATGGAAAACGTATCGTTTGCTCTTAGAGGGTTCTGATGATGATCTGAAGTAAAAAGGGAAATATTTTTCAGTTTCTAGCATAGATTCTGCCACATAAGTAGGTTGATTCATTATTTTAAATAATTTCTGTGATATTTTATAATTTATTTATTATGTTTTAAAATCTTTATATACACTCTTTTGCAAAAAAAAAAAAAAAAAAAAAAAAAAAAAAAAAAAGGAAGCACCATGAAGAAAGTGGTTGTTTTTGATGAAATTGAATATGTGTATAGCTCATACACAAGGAATAAAATGACTAAAAAATCAAGGTCATAGTACCTGTTCACGGTTCACAATCACCCATTGAGTGTTCAAATTAGTAGTTGGTCGAATCACCCCTGGCTGCAATGCATGCTTGAATCCGTCGAGGCAAAGAGTGGTAGAGGTTCATAATGCCATCCTTCAATACATTCTGCCAGTCATTCATCAGGTGTCGCTCCAGATCTGCGATATTTTGTGGTGCTCGAATCTGGCGGCCTGCCATGTCCCAGACATGCTCGATTGGTGAAAGGTTTGGTGACCTTGCTAGCCAAGGAAGAGTATCAACCGCACGGAGACAGTTCATAGATATCGGAGCGGTATGTGGCCTTGCATTATCTTGTTGTAAAATTGCCCCGGATGACGTGTCATGAAGAGTAATGCAACCGGCCGCAGGATAGTATCAACATATCGTTGAACTGTTAAAGATGTACGGAGGATGAGTAAAGATGACCTGCTGTCATAAGAAATAGCGCCCCAGCCATGAGGATCGGCTGCGACAGCACTCCAGACGACTTCGCCGATGTTGTGGGGAAAACGTTTTAAAAGCCTCTGTGAGCGTAACCTCAGATAAGCGCCGTGAGATGGTGGACGGTACCACGGGAGGTATAGACTATGCAACACACTACAGGTGCGTCGACAATGATACCGTTGGAGTCAATGATATGGTTGGGTCGACAATGATACCGTTGGGGCGGTTCGGCCTTGACGAACAATCATCCTATCTTGCCTCGCATTTGTTCTCCTTGGCCTTCCAGAGCCTTCATTTCGTCGGCAATTTCCTTGTAGCAACCATTCCTGCCAACATCTTTGCACAGCAGTGTCTGTACGCTGCAGTTGGCCGCCTATTTCTCGGTATGACCACCCAGCTTCACGCAACCCTACAATGCGACTAAGTTCCAAGTCGTTTAGCTGTAAGGTCTTCGATATCGTCGTAATGGCATCTTTAGTTGCTTCTTTACGGAATTACAATAGCAGAAACAAAAAAGATAAATTTTTCGCCTTTGTTACTGGTTTTATATTTTGCGAATTGCGCACTAGAAATGTGCGCTATGATCGCAGTTCCTGTTTATTTGCCTTGAAACTTTGATCATTTGCATGTTTCATCATGATGTTTTTGCGTATCAAATTTCGTCACGATCGCAAACGTCCTTCTTGGTGCTTCGATTGTTTTTGCAAAAGAGTGTATATAACGATTATAAATGTTTTCTTGTTCATGCACAATTATTTGCTTTTTCAGCTTTTGTAAAAAGTAAAATATTTCATAAGAATTTAATATTTTTGTATAATATTATAAATTGCTTTAGTTTAAAGTTGCCTTTATAGTAAAGTTACCTTTGTTACAATTTTCACTGGAAATAATCGTAATACAATTAACTGTACAATTTGCTGGTAAGTTACAAAGTTACGTGTAGAAATAACAAGACAAAATCTCGAATCATACCTCTCGTTATGCAGAACTTTATGCAGAAGACGAAACAAAAGATTTTATTTTTAGCCTCCGGATGCTATTCCAATGGACTTTCATAGGTTAGATCTTTTGCAACAAATTCAGTTCGTTGCAAAGCTCGTTATAACGAAATTAAGAGGCATAGTTAAAATCAAAGGAAGATCATAGAAAATTATCAATATCAGCAACGTGGTCGTTTCTAAACAAATTTAACCTGCGTAGCGCATTACAAGAAACATAAATTAACATTCAATACGTTAGTTCCAAGAATAAATTTTAATGTTAGAAAACATTTCGCACAATACTTTTAAACCTCAGCTTTTTGAAAATAAATTAATGTTATTAATTCTCTTAGCTCAACTAAGCTGTTTAAATGTAATAGAAGCCATGGTATGATAAAATATGTATAAAATAAGTTTGATTGTGATAAAGAAATAAAACAAGCAGTCAACTTGTACTCAAATAATTTTGCTGCTTATAAATTAACACTGTGCTGCGTCAATCGTAAACTGACAGGCGCCATTCTAACAAAGAAACGAAATTGAAAGAAGATTAACGAAAACTCAAACGGTCCGTCATACAAGCACAAAAAAGAAAAAAGAAAAGAATTCTTTAAGAGAAGTTTCCTGACGTTTTATAGCTAATTTTGGTTTTTCTTCTAGTCCTTCGCCTGAAGCATGCCTCAAATGCCTCATCCTTGTCAAGACTCTGTATATAGAGTGAAGAAAGAAATTTATAAGAAAACTGAATAAAATTTACAGTTACGCCACTGAGCAATAAAAGATTCAAAACTATTAAAATATATAAATTAATAAAAGTATAAATAACAATAGTATAAATTTATTATTTTTAAGCTAAATTCAAAAATGAAATCTAAGATGTCAATTTCGTAACAATATAAGCCATGCAGTCAAACAAACTAACCCGGAAGGGTATAAATTTATGAAATGTAACATAAATATACAAAATGTAGTATAGGAAAGAAAGTGAAGTGTAGGAAAATAATACAAACTGAAAATATTACTGCAAAGATAAAGTATTCTTATGAGGTTTACTTGAAAAAGTAAAACCCATAGGTGAGTAATGAGAGAATAGAATCAGTAATCAGTGCTCAACTACAAAATGAGTAGAATCAGTGACGAACAAAAAAAAAAAAAAAAAAAAAAAGGAAGAAATTTTTTTAAAAGGGTATCTGTTTTTGGCTTATAAAAGAAAATATCAAATTATAATTAAATGTTTTAGTTTTTAACAAAACAAACCAACAAAACAAAACAAAAAAAAAAAAAAAAAACTTAAATAATTGTGCATGAACAAGAAAACTTTCCAAATAAAAAAAAAAGAAATTTCAAATTAATAAAATAATAAAGATCACAAAATATGCCAGAAATTACATAGAATAACGCTTAAATTTAACTATATAGACAGAATTTATGTTAGAAGTTGCTCCATGCTAGTTTATTATCCTTTCAGATCTTTTAAGAGCTTCTAGCCTGAAGTGATGAATTTTTAAAATTATATTTACATAAGGTCCTGGAGTAAATTTTCTTAGAAGTTTCCCATTTTAAGGCATTTTAATTAAATGGAAAATATATTATACTATCAAGGAAGATTTTATTGTAGAAACATTGTTCTTCAATCTCTTCAGCTCTATTAATAACGGTACTCTTCATAGTATCTTCAACTTCTCCTAGATAATAGAAATTCTATTATGCAATTTTCCTGTAACAGCCATCTCAGAGGAATTTCGGATAATGTTCATCTATATTTTACGTTTAATACGAAATACCTCACAAGTTTATTTATACGTAGTAAAAAAATATCGACTAAAATTGAATGATTCAATTTTATGTCGATTGCTAGCACCAGCCAATCAGCTTTTAACCGCTTCCTGCGTCATTCAATTCGTATTCAGTAAACTCAACTTAAGTTTTAAAATAATATAGGGATAACTTACATATTGATTTTCTTTAACGGAAAACTAAACAACGGGACTTCCTCCCATCGTTTCGATGTTAAACAAATTTGATGCCGAACAATAAATTTATTTTAAACAGATGGAATTTTCTAGCACATATTTAAATTTTAGGTGACCAACAAGCGTTTAATCGACCGTGAACGAAACCAGATGAGATACTAATTCTCAAAAAGATGAAGACCAACGTAAGTAAAAGTATGGTTATGACATGTAAGGCAAATGTTTTTTCTGCAGTAAATAAACAAGCAAACAAAAAACAGAAACAGAGGCTGGCAGTTAGAGAAAAATGTAATAAAGGACTTAATGCCCTCTAAAACCTATCTAAAGAGCCCCTTAAACCTCGCAATTAAGTATAATTCAGATACAATAAATTCGAAATCAAATCTATTTTCTTCTTTTTTCTTTAACCTTACGTGATTATTCATATATAGTGAGCTCTCTCGAGCCATTAATTTTCACGATTGAAGGCAACAGAAGAGAAGCTAGGATAATAGGTTAAAACGTTTATTTTATGCAAACTTTGCAAAGCTTAAAAATGAAGGGACTATTGGGGAAGGGATGTTTTTTCGAAGAAATTTGTAGGAAGTTTCAGAGAACTTTCTAATATAGTATAGTGCTATTTTATTGATTAAATTAAAAATGTTTATTGCTTTTATTGATTAGCGCTTTATATTGGTTAAATGTTCGATTCAAAGAAACGTATCTGGAACTCACTATATATAAATGTTCCTTGTTTAACGGAAGTTTGTTTTATGCAACTTTTACGAACACCTGCATCACCACGATTTCGGCTTATGAAATAAATAAATCAGAAAATGTTCCTTTTACGAAAAGAAAGATGAAAAACAAAAAATGTCATTCAATGAATATTTTATGCAATGATCAAGTAAAACGTATCTTAAACTTTATGAAAGGAAGTTAAAATGCGAGTTTTGAAAGCTTTTTTGATTGAATGCCCAAAACCAGAAACGATTGAGTCAATCTAAGTACCCTGTTTAGTAATCCTTTAGTAGATTCTTTTTTCATATGCGTGATTATGATAAAATACCTACGGAAAGCTGAAAATGCGTGCGTACTAACAAATGGCTAAATGTAACATTTCTCTGAAACTGTTATCAGCCGAATGCTGATTTTTGTCAGTTGTTAAATTACATTTCCAATTATTAATATTGAAAATAAACTTTTAACTTTCCATTTGCATTATGAAAATACCAATCACCAGAAATAATTTCAATAAGATCCAATGCTGTTATTTTCCTTTATGATATCAAAGAAGTTTTTTTAAAAATCCGACACGAATTAATTTCGAGCTTTCAAGTATACTGTTGAATTTAAAGCTTTTCAGTCTCAGAAAACAAAGATTTCGACTTTCGATAATAGGGCAGACAGACAAAGAAACTAAAAGCATAATAACATGATTGATTGCATCCATCATTGTCTTGCACAATTTAATCTTCAATAATTCAACTGACACATCATTGTCATTGCAATGAACTCTGAAGCTTACACTTACACTATATACATTATTTCTCCATATTCCAGCTGTATGTTCATACGAGTTTTGCCTCTAGTGTTACATTTAAAGTACGATTCGTTATAATTTGATATATCCCAGGAATATTTAAAAAGGATTCAATATAATAGTGGAAATTAACAATAAGTTTCTTCTCTGTATTTCGTTTCGGTATTTACTTTATTTATGTGGGAGAAACGTGTTTAGATAAAAAAATACCAAAATTTTCCCATTTCTAAAGAAACATCTATTAGAACCTTAAGAAGTAAATGGCTGAAATAGTGATACATTTAATTCTGAATTAAAATAATGTAATCTTTTAAAATATAGAGGTATTAAACCACGTAATTTAAAATTTTACGTTTTACGTATATTATAGGCTTTCTTCAAAAAATGCTTGACTTAAAACCCATTATGGCAGATACTTTTGTGAAGGGGTAAAAAAGAGAAAATAGCAAAAATCGGTGAATCACTGATAACTACGAGGCGCCTTTAATGTATCTTTCATATTGTAGTAATTTACCAACCCAAAATAGCAGTTTTGTTTCTTAGTAATGTTTTGATACTTCTAATTAGCATCAAGCCCGTTAACAAAATATTTCCAGTTTTAACAACAGTTTTAACGACATGAGTTATGAATATTAAAAGATGCATTTGACATTTTATTCTTCAAAGGCTTTCTTTCACGTATAAGTAGAAGAAAAGAAATGATATTTGCGATGATGGCGAAACTTTTATTAGTAGCTAGAGACCAAAAATCCCCTAAATTTTTTATACAACTTTATATGCTTATGTGTACATATTATACACACTCATTTATACATTGTCAAACATACATATACACATATATATACATGTTGAAGAATTCGTATCATATTTCTGTTAAGAAAATACAAGTAAATTAAATATGTAAATATTCAGGTAAACTGATGCTGTATTTAAGTATAACTTCCTAAATATTAGAATATCCTCAATCTGAAAGAAAAGGTTTGATATACAGGTTAAATGCATAAATAACGTAACATCGCTAACCTGAAAGCCCAGTTGTAATTGGCAAGGCAAGGTGAGTCGTCATCACATACATCACAGCCTGGTTGACATCGTTTACATATATAAAGCATATCATAGGTAGGGCTGTAAAAAGCAAAACCACAACGTCAATAAAAAGGACATTCATTGTTGAATTGAGTGTTAATTATTAGGTTCAAGTGTTTCTTTTAATATTTGTAAGTAAATGAATATTAATGGCATCCGCAGTTGACATGTAATAAACCTTTGCCGAACGTGGATTTGCATAACGCGCTTTCACATATTCGCATTATCTTCGTTGTTACCATTTAATTTGTCCAACATTAGAATTTTATTCAGTTCAACGTTCATTCATCAGTTCTGCTTGATTTCAGTCTAATCAAGTTACTATGGTGTAATCTTAATTGTGAAATAACTATTGAATGTAAATAATGTATCATAAATGTTTCAACAATATCATAAGTCCGAACATAAGACAGGACAATTGATGTAACCTCCAGCGGTGGCAATGATGTAACTTGTTACGTTGATGTAACTTGTTACGTGTGCACCAGACAATAGTAGCATTTCGGCACCAGAACAGCACCGTGGGCCCCATGAAGGCATTGTTAATCAGAATCGCTAGTGTAAGGGGCCTTTACTTACTGATAGTAAATACCTACTTACTCAGGCCCTATACTTATACATAACCTAACCTAACATTGAATGCTTGTTGGCATCAGCTGTGGCCAGAAATTATCAACAGTTTTAAGGGATTTTTAGTTAAAAGGACTCAAAGAAATCGAACAACGTTTGTGATGAAGAATTTGAGACATGAAAGACTGAGAAGTCAAAGACTTAATCGAGAAATGACAAATGAAGAACTGGGTAATCCCAAGCAGACAGTGAAAGTCGTGATAAATAAGAAGATGAAGAGTCTTTAAACGTACAAAAAGTTAAATGAATTGTTAGCAAAAGAACAAGTGTTTTATTTTGCAATGGACATTGCAGATAATGAAACAGTATATAGGAGAGATTGAAAAATTCTGCGCCTTTTGCCGCGAAACTTTTAAAGAGCTGCGTCAGACATTGCCCAAGCAAAAATCAGCAGTTTTTTAAATAAATAACTGTATCACATTATAATTATATGAAAGGAGTTTTATTAACTTGAAACAGTAATAAAAATCGTTTAAGTTAACATTTGCTTCATTTTTCCTCTTAATTGCAGCAATATTTAGTTTGTTTAATTATACATACTTTCTTAATCTGAATTATATCTAATATATTTTTCCATAGAAAGTTAAGTTTGCGAAAAAGATTTAGCAACACGCACAATGTATTTGCAGACTATCGTATGTTGATTAAAAATTATTAGAATTTTAGTCTTTACAGTAACTTCTCCTCACCGTATTTCTCACCAGAGTTATTAGTTGATTGTGTATTTAAGCTGATGTTTTTGGTTCTTCAGAAAAAATTACATTTCTCGCATTGCGCGCTAGCGGTTAGATTCTGCCAGCTCTAGTTAGATGTAATGATCTCGGCTTTGCGACTTTTTCGGACGATAGTTTAAACTGACGTGTTGTTAATTTATTCAGCTTATAGCTTAGTATTTAATGTGTAGACTACTGATCTACGTTTAATTTGAATTGAATATTCTTAGTTAGATTGCACTGCAACGAGTTATGGTTATTTGTAGCACAAAGTCGTGCCTTTATGTTCAAATGAAATTATAAATGAAGAACTGGAAACTGGATAATCACAACCCGAAGTTCTGTTTAAATAAAAATGTTTTTTTTTTTTTTTATGTCCTTTCCAAGACAATGTAGTTCTCTTTCAGATATAGAGACGACTCCAGATACAGCGACAAATGATTCATGTTTTGTGTCTGTTAGTGTTGCAGTAGTAGTACTCGATGAAATGACTCGAACCAAGAATCTCTTAATGCCAGCTGGATGGGCTAATCACTTACAAGACGGGACAAGGAAGGGAAAGTGGCGATAATTCGATACATTTTAACTCACTAAAAAGCAACAGAAAAGAAGAAACGGACCCAGTTGACAATGACGAATTATAGTCCACTAAATTTTAATTCAGGCATCGTTAGTAAAGATTATAAGGTATTTCTCCCACTTCCCTGGCGTGCCTTCGTGGTGTAACGGTAGCACGCTGGGCCGGTATTCCAGAGGTCCGTGGTTTGATTCCCGGCGAAGGCGGTTGCATATTTTGCATCGTTTTTGGCTTCCAATTAACCTAATGACTCTACAAGATTATCTTTCTGGAGCCCGAAGTGTGAGACTTCAATTGTGTCTTTGCTCAGCTTCGAACCATAACTTGTCCAACTGAGAGTTATACTTTCTTCACCATGAAAGACCACGCGGGGGCACGTAATATTTCTTTACAAGGGAGGATCACAGTTTTGTAATGTAATGTATATTTAATATTGCAGCCTACTCATATTACTTTGAATAACATTCATTTCATAGAAAATTTTAAATATGGGGAAATCAGACATATAACTAGTGGTTTGCAATAGTTCTATCTCATGGTTTCCAACCAGCGTATCAAGAAACCTCATTAAGTGTATCGTGAAAGTTTCGAATTTAAAAGCACATTTGAAAATATTTTATTTTGTTCAGCGTTACACTTTAGCTACGCTAAATCTAGTTTAGGATTCCTCAGGTTAACAAAAAGTATCAAAAACTTTTATAAATATTAAATTTCATTTAAATTTTGCATAGTCTTCATTTCTATACCACTTTTGTTTACTGCTCAAATCTGTGAACAAAAACAGGATTCATGTTAGAAATACTTTTTATTTGAATTAAAATATAGTTTTATAGATGATGCATTTACATTACTAGTCGTATTTGCAAATAGTTGTAAATTTAGAACGAATCTCGTTTAATTCTTCGGCTGTTGACAAAAATTTTGTATTCTCTTTCAATTCTAAACTATTTTGCACAAAGGCAAGATCGTATTTAAACTTCAAGATCTATGATATATAATGCATCAGATGAAGAAAGGGTTTTCAAGAAAAGATGTAAAAAATCGTATTTTATATTTCAAGTTCATTTAACATCCCGGAATTTACTGAATTATCAGTTAATATTGTAATAAAATACGATTTTCAATGCAAAATATGACATTATTTTTTACCATATGCTAAAATAACATTTGCATAGGATTATGTATAGAGTACAAAATGTTTCGCACTTACGTATGCGAAATATATTCAGTATTTATAAACATACATTTAAATTTTAATTTAAGGATTACAATAATTTCGTGGCCTTTCATTTAAAGGCCGTTCAATTTATAATTTTGGGCCAGTTCAGTTTAAAGATCAAAATAATTTTATGTATATCTAAATATATAATCTATAATTTTATGTATATCTATGATATACAGTGGAACCTCGAGATACGAGTTTAATTCGTTCCAGCATTGAGCTCTCGTATCTAGGAACACATTTCCCCATTGAAAGTAACGGAAATCCAGTTAATCCGTTTCGCAAACCCAAAAATATAAAAATAAACTTTTCTAATGAATGACGCTGGTAAATAATATAACCATAGTTTACCTTTATGATAGCTTCCGACACCCACAACAGCTTCTAGGAGTTTTGGACGGTGTTTGAAAGTAACGGTAATGCCTTTGCCTACATCAAGTATCTTAATTTCTTCCTTCTTCTTCAGAATAGTACAGATCATCGATGTGGAAAGGCCTTAAGTCATTCGCCAGTTCCGTCACTATTACACCACGCTAGTTTATCTAGGATTTCTTTCTTAATTTCAACGGCCACGGCTTTCTTCTTTTTCTTTGCAGCACTATCTGAGGCAACAATCTTCTTGGGAGACATCGTGAAATAATTATTTTCAAGTTAAATGTAATAAACAATTAACTTAAAAGCGCACAGACACGTAGATTAAAGAACACTGAGTGATCTGACGAGGGGATGCCCCGAGTCGAGCCGGATCAGGAAATGGAGCCACGCATAATCTGGCTCATTGCTCGTTACTCGAGTCAATGCTCGTTATTTAGAGACAAATGTTTACCTCATAATTTCCTCGTATCTCGAATTTCTCGTACACAAAGGTGCTCGTATCTCGAGGTTTCATTGTACATAAAACTGATATAATTTTGAATAAAGATGAATTGATGAATAAAGAGTTCTGGCATCGCCAACGTCGGAGCTATTTATCGATAGAATTAAAAGTACTAAAATAAGAATATCAGAATAGTCGTAAGAGCTTCAAGGTACATACAAAATACCTACGTTTCTTTATAGTTCGCAAGATCAAAGCATTTTCTTCTGATATGAAGCAAACCAAATTTAAGAAACTATTCTAGTAATGTAGTCGAACAGGAGATGATCAGAACGACGTACTCTCGGCATATGTGTGTAGATCATTGTACATAACATCCATAACAGAATTCTCAAACATGGCAGAATTATTTAAGTGTTAAATATTTAGTTTTAGTTTATGAATATAAAAAACTACTTTTATTCAAGTTTCAGTTTTTATCTACATTTTCTCTACTTTTTGTCGTTTAATTTATATAAACATATTAAAAAAATAATTTATTTAAGTCTGAATAAATGTATATGTTTGAGTTTTGTAAAGTATGAGGCTTCTAGCAATGGTGAAAAGGGTATAATGAACAAAACACTGTTCTATTGTTCTGTACCTATAATTGTTTTATAGTTATGTGTTATGTAACTATAACTGTTCTATATTTAGTTTATAGTTACTTTAGTTCTTCTATGTGTGCTGTAAACTGTGTGTGCTGTGAACTAAACTGTACTGTGTACATTCTATGTGTACTGTAACCCAATAAACTATAATTAGGTAGTTCATTTACGGTAGAGTTAGTTTATTTACGGAAATTTCAAATTAATTTCTTCACATGCTAAGAGCATCTGCACGCAGCTTTGAGCACCATTTTCGTGGAACTCAAATGATAATGCTCGAAATAGTGTTTTGGGTTTGTCAGTTAATCGTTATAAATTTCTATATAGTAGAAAGCTATATAGAATTATTCTTAGTATAAAGCTTATTTTGATACACTTGTGTTAAAAAGGTTTGAAAATAAAAAGCTATTTAAAAATACAAAAATAATTTCTGATGCTTTAAAACTAATTTTAGAATATAATAGGAGTTAAGATTAATAGCAATGGTAAAACATTTGCTTTAAAAGCATAAACATATTATTTGTTTTAAAAGCATAAACATATTATTTGTTTTAAAAGCATAAACATATTATTTGTTTTAAAAGCATAAACATATTATTTTAAAAGCATAAACATTTGTTTTAAAAGCATAAATTTATAAGTATCAAAAGTTTCTGTTTTAATGTATGTTTCATCACTAACGGATGTCATTTCAAAGAAGCAGAAAATTATTAGAAGGTAAACGAAGGCATTAAAAATAAATAATTATTTATTCGAGTTATTATTGTAGCGAAAGGCGCTTTAGGAATATTATATGGATAACGAAGTTGAAGAAAGAGAAAGTAAAATAAAGAACGGAATAAAACGGCCAGAAAGAGATTAAAAATTAACTAATTTCTTATAATCCGCGAAAAGTAAACGTAACAGGTGTTTCTATACATATAATTAAACTAATTTTAACTTCATGTATGTAAAATACGCTACAATTGCGAAAATAGTATGTTCTGAGTCGCTTTATTAAGAAAAATATAAAAACTCGTTTCCAAAAATTTTAAGCAATTGTTTGAAGACCTATGTAAGAAATATTTACCATAGCAATAGCAGATAGAATTACAGAAGACTTCCACTACGTCAGTGTTTCAACTACGTCAGATTAATATTAATTTGAATGAGATTTAAAATTATCTTACAATTTTTTTCCCAGTAAGAATCTGATGCTGAAGATTGTTCACATTTATTACTATTGTGTATTTCGAAGGAAAAAATATTTTATTTGGAATTAAGCTGATGAAATACATTTAATCTAAATATTTATTTATGAAATCCCTTTCAACAGCATATAGTTTTAACATAACTAAAACGTTTAGTATAACCATTAACCTGATAGTAAGAGTGAAAAGAGATATCTTAAAAATTAAACTCCCCTTTCCAAAAGAAAACTGTGAATAAATTACTTCCCCAAAGCTAGTTTTTATAATAAATATAGAGGTTATAAAGCAGGAAAATCAACATTATTCAGAAGCAAGTAGAGATAAAATAATGTATTCATATAATGTTTCACCTATTCAGGGTTATCTTGTCTTTGTATGCGGATTCAACTAGGGATCCATTAAAGATGGGTTTTCCCGTAGCTGAATAGAAACCATCTCTGCACTGGCACTTATAAGAACCACGCATCCAGCCGAAACCAGGCGTGAAAACACACTGCAAAAAGATAAAATTGTCAACATTTTATGCATTATTTTCTATAATTACAACTACTGTTAAATAAAGTGTTTGTAATATTAATCTAAAAGTTTTTCATATTTGCATGAAGTATTATCTCAAGTTGGTAAAGATATAACATCAGTAACACGGTTATTTTTATTTTCTATTACGTTATGGAATGTTATTGGCTGTAAGCATAAATTTGCAATAAACACATAAAGTATTATTCTAGTAGTGTTTGCCAAATATATTTCTAAATACTCCAGTGCTCAAATCATTCTCGAAGAATACTTGGAAGCCAATTTTATTTGAAATTTAAAAAATTGCCATCTAATCATCTTTGTAATACTCTTTACAGCAGTATATCATAACTGCTACAGTGTTCTTGACATTACTAGAGAAATTAGAATAAAGCTTATTTTGATATTTATCCCACGTTGGCCGTCGTATCGTTTTGGATTGATAGCGTTATTTGAAAAGGATGACCCAAGCAGAACCATCTAGAAAAGAGTGAAAGGGTGAGAAATCTCACATTCTTTGAGTGCAGTTTTGATACATCAGAACAAATAAGGATATTGAGGCATATCGAGAATGCAATCAAACAGTTACAAGGATCTTTATTGAAACGTCCTTTGCTCAAAATAAAATATCCCGCCGAATGGTCGAATGATGCCTTAATTCTGTTTGCACAATACAAACTGTGTTTTCTAGTTTTATTCTGCAGTGAGTATGCTAACGTTCTTTCACAGCAGGATTAATCAGCAAAACCGTCTGAATTTCTGGTGCCTCGTCCACCTTTTTGCTATCCTGTCCTTTAATGGCCAAATTCAAGTACTGCACATGTGAACTAAATTTCCGCGAACTTGTTGAGTAGAAGGGTAAACTCTCAGTGAAATCAGGGAAGATTTGTAAACAATATCAAAGAGTTTAAAGAAAATTACACTTAAAGAAAACGAAGATTACGGTTCTGTACTGGTAGCAATGGACAAAATACAGTAAATTATCGGTAACTGAAAAATGGTTGGTATTCTGTTAATTTGTATGAAAGCTGAAATCCGGAAAAACGTAGCAAATAATAAAATTATTTTCGGTATGTATCCGTTAATTTAAACTTTGAATAATTTGAGCAGATTTGCCAGCCCTACGAATCCGGATTACACGAGCCTACTGTAATAATAATTACAGCTAAAATTAATGAGTTAAGAAACAAGAAAGGAGATAGCACCTTCCCAAGAAAGAGTTGTGAACTGAATAAAATCAAAAAGAAAACTTACACAATTTGGTACGCAGTTTTACTTTTTAAACTCGTTTCTAGTGTGTTATTTGAAAGTACTAAAAGCCGGTGTTTATTTCTGAAATTTTACTTAAAACTCTTCTTCAACCAATTTTATATCCTTGCGTCTTTTGGGAAAATATTTATAATTCTGCCTATTGCAACGTACCTGCATACTTCTAGCTAATGGTATTTCGAATGCATTATTAGAATTCAGTGGTGAGGAAATTAGTCATTTATCTTGCGTAGAAGAGCTTTTTCTTTTGTGATCTTTTTTATACGAAAGATAAGGTTAGTGAAACAGGAGATAGTAATGACAGCCTTTTTTATGTATGTAGGGAATTTACATGACGAATTGACGTTTTGAATGTCAAAAGGTTAAAACACTAATAAAATATTGTTTATGTTCATTATTTCTCTACATTTAAGTACTCAGCAGGTTATTAATGGATAGGAGAGCGAAAAGTGTATAATTGGAAGCTATGTCGCTAGCTGTGCAGGCATTGGAATTGCTTACTGTATTAGGTTTCAGACAAACTGTTTAAAATACAAAATAATTTGCCCTTTTAATTTTTTTTCATTTAAATGCATATGAAATATTTTTTATTCTCTATCGTTAATGCTACGTTGGAAGTAGAGACGTACAGGAAATATTAAATGAAACTAATTTTAATTCAAATAATAAGAAATGAACCAGATGTGAAGAGATAAAATTAGATTAATCAAATATATAAGTCAAATAGTTATAAAGGCTATTCCAATAAGAATGAAATGATTTTAAAACAAAATAGAAACAAGGTTTAAAATGTTATCACTATTGATAATTATAATTTGTACTTAGTATGCTCTCACAATTCATCATGACATCATGACACGTTTCAAGACCATTAATTTTGAGAAAACAATTACGTTATCAGATAAAGCTAATTTCTGTTTAAATGGATATATTAACAAGCAAAGTTGTTATTTTTTGGTGGGAAAATAATACGCAAGAGATGTACGAGAAGCCCTTGCATTCGCAAACGTTCACTATATTGTGGGGTTTATGGCATAGTGGCATAACCAGATCAATTTGTTTCCAAAACGAGGGAGAAGATTCTGTTAAAATGACCAGTAGATAATAGCGATTAATGATAATGAGTATTTTGTGCCAAACTAAGAGAACACTGATATGAAGGACACATGACTTCAACAAGGTGGTGCCATATGTCCCATTGCTAAAGGCACTATCGAAGAATTGCGAAAAGGCTCGGTGAAAGAACTGTAGATTCATTAGAATTTTTCGTAGTTGGGAATGTGAGGAAACCCACAATGCCTTCTCCTGGATTCGAACTTCGGAGCTTCCAGTTACACCACGAATGTATACGGAAACGAGGGGAAAAGCGCATTACAGGATTCTTTTACAAAATGCAACTGTTAGTTGACCTCCAAAAACTGCGATTAATCGCCTTTAGATTATGTTTTTGAACACTTATTTGGAATAAAGGTCTATGCAAACCAACCACGAAAACTTGAAGCATTAAGAGTAAGCATCAAACGCTGCAATCAACATTAAACCCAGATTATCGCACAGAGTCATCGAAAATTGGGTTCATTGAATTCGCTAACGTGTATTAAGTCAGTGTGAATTGTTTTAATGATACTTTATTCAAAATCTAATATAATAATGTTTGTTAATAATAATATAAAATGCTTGTTTGTATCTGACATAGTTTTTATTTTATTTTATTTTAATATCATATCATTCTTACTGGAGCACCCTTTATTAAAATGTCAGTAATTAAATATTGCAACAAGACTCATAAAAATTAATACAAAAGGCTGAAACAATATTTAAATACCATTTGTTGTACCATATATAAAATTAAAATGACTTTCATTCCTTTTGAAACACAATCATGAACCCTACATATCACTTTCTTTTTTACGTTACCTTTATTAACCATATATCTACAATTAGGTGAATGCGAACATAGAAAAGTATATAACAAAAATAAACATCACTCGGACTAAACTGTAATGCATCATAAAAACAAAACCAGTTTAACGATCAGAAAGCTAACCTTGCTTGTTCGATTATGACACTTGTGTGTTCCTAGGAAGGCTTCCATCTGCCACATGGATACGTTCTCCCCCACTGACAGCTGGTCGCATTGATTAATGTCCATGTCAGTGACATCGACATCGACGCTCATTACACCCACAAGCCTGAAAAAGAAAGAAATCCGATTGCATTTGTTTTATGTCTGTGGTTACTCTTGGAAAAGTCATTACTAAATCCAATACTCTTCCCGCGAAAATAAGACAGATTTTCTAAATGGGTTTCTTCTAAATATTTCCTTTTCAGTTACATTAACCTACTTCTAAAACTATTATTTTTAAAGAATTAGAAGTTATTTATTGCACTAAACAGTTAATATTTAAATGATGCACAGCAACACTACAAATAATACTAGCCGCCTTGTGTGGCCAGTCGCTTAAAACAGTTATTATAAAAAAGAAAATGTATAATGATTTTAATAAGTCCACCTAGTGTAATTTCTAGAAAATATTCTCTATTTCTGATTAGACATCTTATGATTAAAATGCATTGTTATTCAAATCAATCAGAGTAGAATTAAACATTTATTCTTAAGAACTGAGTTAATTGCTTTTAAATTATTTTGTTATATTACAGCAGATATATTAAATTTGAGAGTTAAGTATCTCAAACTTTACTAAATAGCAACGCACTGGCAAGTGGAAGATAAAAATATTTTATTTCAGGCAGTAGTAACACATTACTTTTAAATAAAAGTTTTACAAATACCTATTACTCTATACTTTCAGAACTTAAATGATAAGAAACTGATTGCAAAAGAGCTTTTAACTAAAATTAATATGATAACTAACGCACTCAAAGAAGAAAAATAATTCATCTTATACTTTAAGGGGAATAACGTAAGTCTATTTACGGAATTTATCTACAATTTTACATTTCGAATAATAAAAACATTAGGTGCCCATGATAAATTAAAAAATATATGGTCACCACACGACTTCCTTGTGCGCCTGTTAAATTATACAAATTTTTTTGCTGCACTTTATATTTAAGTGTTTTTCCTCGAATTACTCTAACTTATCGATCTCTCAAGACAAGTTGAAAATGACATGAAAAGCTACAAATTCTGAAATTAACCATCTCGATCAATTTTTGTCGTAAATGAATCAAGTTCTTGTATTTTTATTTTTCATAACGAGTATAAAACTTTCTTAAATATAAATATGAGAACTGGGAAACAGCATTAAAAGTTAGAATTCGTTATTTATCCCAAATTGATTCTCTTTAAAACTGAAATCGCCAAAAAATGAATATTTTTATCATTTGAAACAGTTTTGTAATTGGAAGTATGTGTCTACGACCAATGATGACAAAAATAAAAGCCGGGAAAAGACTTAAAGCGGATATGTTGCGTGGGTATATCTGTATCTATTTATTTATATAAAAGTAAATATAAAAGAATAAATTCAAAGTAAAAAACAGTTCCAAATTTAATCCAAATACGAGCTGATAGCCGCAACATGTGGAGGTAATAATATGCAATATAAAATCAAATAAAAACACGTTTAAATTCCTCTCATATTCAGTTCAGAATAAACCACATGCAAAAAGTGTAAAACAGAAGCATCGTGGGCAAATTGCAAGAAATAAGGAAAAAATATGTCAAAACTCAAAATGAAAATGAAATTTACATCTTTAGCTGTGTCGTCATTAGGGGGGTTGGTGCAACGAAAGAATTAAATAATAACAAAAGGGCAGAATTATATGTTATGGCAGTCTCATATACAAAATGTCAACGTCTTAAGGATACGCACCTACAGACGACACGAAAAAATCTAATTTTAATGCGTTTTATAAGCCGTTTTGGAATAAAGAGTCCTCTTTTCTGTCATTACGTACAGATATTACGAAAAAGCATAGTTAAAATAAATTCAGAAACGGTCAAAATGGATATTTCAGTTGTGTGAAAAACCGAAATTTTTCACCATTACAATACTTCCTTCGCTTTGTACAAGGAAATGAAAAGATATTGGTTTATGATTTGACAATGCAATAAAATAGATTAAGTAGATTAACAGATTTTTTCTTTTCATCATTATTTTGAAATGAAAGATTTGAGACATTTCTGATTAAAAAAATTCCAGATATCAAAGAGTACGTTTTAAGACTGGGATTGGAGAAAAATTTAACATTCGCCTCTTTTCCAAAATGTAAACATTTGGCAATATTAAGTTGCACGTCATGAAAAAAATGTATTGTCTATCTGCTTGCAATCAATCTCAGAGAAACAGTTTTTGTACAAAAATTTACTACATATATTGCATAACGTTTCTCTTTAAAATGTAACACAAATCGGTTATCTTTCTGCTATCTTTGCTTTAATCTACCTCTCAGGCACTTATCAACATGGAGTATATGTCATGTTTTCTTTAAAATTTTCTCTTTTGATTATAATCCTGCGAAAGCTGATTTCTTCCTGTTGAATGAAAAAGGTATCTCTGCTGCCACAAAAACTAAACGAAAAATATTTTTATACAATTCTGTTGACATAAAATAACTCATGCGTATATAATATATATCATAAATAGACTCTGCAAACATTTCCCACAAATGAAATTTCCGACTGTGTAAGAATAAGATTTTCGATGCATGAATAAGACTTCTCTGGTTCATATTTCGTTTCTGTAAATATTAATCTTAATATCATATTAGGTTGCCCAAAAAGTTTCATTTTAAAAGTATGTAAAGAATGCATGCCATTTTATGTTCTGCATTTTATTACTGGATTATGTATAGTCCATTCTAATCTGTTATCATCCTTCATCTTTTTCTGAAAACTTCATAATACCATTCTGATCTTTGTGATTTTTTCATCAATATACTGTTGGAAGTTCATTTAATGTCACTTTTTGAACTAAATCTTTTGGTGAAAGAGTTTTTTTAATGAAAAAAATAGGTAATTACCCCGTGCTGCAATATCATGTTATCATCAGGATATAGGGCCTCTCAATCGAATGTTAACTATTTGTTTCCAATATCTCAGGGTACATTGGATCGGGCGTTATTGTACTGGTCAATGACGTCTCCTCTATTTGTTAATGCTTGCGGTTTCTTATCGATTGCTTCTATCAGTCTGGTTTCTTTGAATTAATTGTTTCCTCTTGTGGAAGCAGTTCGCAATAAATGATGCGCTTTCAATCCCATCAAATTAAAAGTCAAACCTTCTGTGGGTGATGACAGGACTTTGCTACCATTAAAGGCTTATTACAGCTGCATCAAGAATGTTTATGGCTGCACTTTAATCAAGATCTCAACTTTCACTCCTAGTAGTTAATCTCTTGAAAAATGGATCTCTCTTATTTCGTTGAAGAAGAAAACCATGCATCGAAATGCGGCTAAGGAGGGTGCTCTCTGCTAACTAATGCAAAAACCATGCTTCTGAAAAACTGATATAGTCAAACTTTATGAAGTGCTTGTATAACATAGATTGCTTAGGTAGTTGTTGCATGAAGAGTATATCGCGGGGTTTCATCAACTAAGAGGTTTTGATGAGATATGAATCTGTAGTGGATGGGCGATCGCTGCAAACTTCTTCCAGATTATACTTACAAGCTCAGTATTTTCAAAACCAGACGCGAACTCTCTGAACCATTGCAGCATTACTCAGCAGTAAAAATCTAGTTTACACAGTCCTTAGCAATAGCAATAGCTATAACAATAAAGATAAGGTTGTAAGTTTATATAAATTACCAAGCAAAGTAATACTCTTCCCGCGAAAATAAGACAGATTTTCTAAATGGGTTTCTTCTAAATATTTCCTTTTCAGTTACATTAACCTACTTCTAAAACTATTATTTCATGCAATCACAAAAGAAACAATTTAGATAACTTTTAAAATTATGTAAATAAAATACAGTAAACCATTTTTCCTCAAATAAAACACTTTTAAACATTATTTCATTCAGACAAATTGAGGTAACTCTTGAAAATGTGCATGCTTTTTACATTCTAAAAAATACAATATTATTTTTAAGTCCAGTTTCATTGGTTATTCTTGATCTGATTGTGCTTGGAAATACAGTGCGTACTATAGAATATTCGTAAACTCTACAGAAAAGAAAATATACCAAATAGTACAGTGGGGGCCAAAATTGTGGACACTTTTGGAAATTTTTATGTTTTTGAACTTTGTATGCTTATAGAAAACGTTACGTTTCACAAAATGCAAACTTGTATATATCATTTTAAAGAGAATTTATTAATGAATTCATCACAAAACACAAAATTCAATTATTTGCAATACAAAAAAAAGTTAAACGATAATAGTTATCGATATACATTAGATAGCGATGATTGCAGTGAGTTATCAGTACTTAGTAGGGTACCCTTTATTTTTGATTACAGCTTCACATCAACGTTTCATTGAGCTGACAAGAGTTTTAAGCTCTTCTTTCGTTATTACATGATGACATGATGCCAAGAAACAATTATAGCCTCAATTAGTTCCCTTTTATTTGATGGGCGCCTCATTCGGACACGAGTTTTCAAACGGTGCCACAAATTTTCGATAGGATTGAGGTCAGGACTGTTTCCTGGCCATGACAACAATTTAATGCTCTTTGTACGAAACCACTCTTTCGATATTTTGGCCGTGTGGCAAGGAGCAGAATCCTGCTGAAAAATAAACGAAGCATTGTTGGGAAAAGATCGCTGATGCAAGGTAGAAGTTTTGGTTCTAGAATAGTGTCAATGTATTTTCTGGCATTCAGTGTCCCATCGATGACATGAAGGCGACCAATACCATCTGCTGACAAGCATGACCAAATCATAACACTAACTGGGTTCTTCACAGTTGCTTGAATGCAGTCAGGATGTCAGGACGTAGCTCTTCTCCTATTCTACGTCTTACATATTTTCGCCCATCACTACCGAATAACGATATCTTAGTTTCATAACTCCATATAACTTGTGACCACTGATCATCTGTCCAATTAATGTGTTCCTTTGCCCACTGTAGTCTTTTTTTTTTCGTTGCTGAAAATTAGGATAAGGCTTTTTTCGTGGAATTCTACCTCTCAGTCCAACATCTGTTAATCTTCTCGTGATTGTTCTAACTGACAGAAACACCAGCATCATTCAGATCACTTGTGATGGCCGCTTTTT